CTGGAGGTCGACTCTTTGTCACCAGTCTCTCCCATTTCCCTCGAATCTGCAGATTGGGGTAGGAAACTTTGAGCCTGTCGGGGAGGTTAATATCAGGATGGCGGTACTGCGCAAATTTCATCACATTCGCATCATCGAGCATTTTGGTGACGCGAGGAGGCTTCTGTGGGGTTGCAATGGAGCCGGAGATTGAGGCGACGGCCCAGGAATGGTGGACCGCGCATGAGGTGTTTAAAAGTTTGAGGAATACCTGCGACAGGCGGAGGTGGTATTTTTGCTGATTGAGATAGTATTCCTCAATCAGGAGATTTGTGTTCTTCCAATCTGAATAAATGCGATGAAGGGACAAAAGAAGGTCGTGGGCATCACGTTAGCAATTGTTGACAAACACAAAAACACAAGAAAATAGGAGGTCGTTAATAGGAGAATTTTTATAAAATATTTTAGGGTAGTTGTTAGGCTGGGCGAGGAAAAGTTGGGGTGTGGGTGGGGAGGGCTACAGAATAGCGGTGTCTTCTGCGCGAAGGATTGATTCATGTAGATTACGGCAACCTCTTGTAGCCATTCCAGAGCCTATTTGAGATTCAGTTACTACTTATTAGCCTCATGCATGCCCAAGGCCTGACCATCCTTCGCCCCTCGTATGCAACTCACGTGACATGCCTATCACGGAAATAAAACCCAGCCTTGGAAAAGAAAACGATAAGAGATTGACCAACCTGTTCCGAATTTCCTTCCCTGATGTAGCACTGCGCCATATTATTGAAGCACGCAACCACATCCATCATCTCCTGCCACACCAATTTCATGTATTTCTCACTCTTTACCTTGCGAGCATCGACGGGGAAGACAAAGTCCTCTCCCAGAATCTTTTTTGCGGCCTCAACATACTTTGCCCTTGCCTCGGGAAATTTGCCCGCCTTGAACATCTCGTTGCCGTCGTCCTTTGCTACGTTGCACTGAACAAGTCTGTAGTATAAAGGCTTTGTCTGTCGCATAACCATCAAGAAACCCTCAAACATAGCAGGGTTTTCACGGCCCCCACGTGCAATGGTCAGCGTCCTCAGTTCAGGACGCAGGTCGATAGCCTTCTGGAGGGGAGGGAATGGCCCTGGGCCTGAGGCATCAAGAACGTCGATGTTTGACATATTGAAGGACTCCATATATATATGGCTGTCTGTCTTTTGCGGCTAAGGACGCGTGTTGTGAGTTTTGAGTTTGCGCCGAGCATGGGTGTGAGGTGAGGTGTCGTTAAACGATCTTGGCTGCGGCTCAATGTCAGGGTTAGGGCTAGTCTCTGTTGGGATTTGTGGGGGCTAATCAAGGATTGGCTTGGCCGCGGTCTTGTGAGCTGGTGAGATGTGATAAAACTGTGTTAAAGACTTCGAAGACGTGCTTGTTGTTTATAACCTCCGCTCCTGCGGAGTGTTCAATTCTCACCAGCAGTAACGTATTCCTAGGATGATCATGATTGTAACGTTGTCTGTAACGATCTTGCTAGTTTAGAGTTTTATTCGCGATAGGAAATTAAACTTTAGCTAACTAAGCCTTTTCGGGAGTCGACTAATAATATTTATTAGACTTGCCTATCCCAAAGCGTCGGCATAATAAAAGAGGGGCCGTATGCGGGCTTTGGTAAGATTCCTATTATTACGCGCAACAGGTCCCGTCGCTTCTTTGATAAAGGCGACGGACAGAGCCATTAGCTCTCAAAGTGACAGGCTTGACTCGAAATTCATGAGAATATTTGAACTAATGTATATGTAATCCTCATATCCCATATAAACAAGTGGGTGCGAGTGTACGGAGTAGAGAGTGTATTCCATGTTTAGCCGGGACGCGGCTAACTAAGATAGCTAGATAAAATATACTACTTTACGCTCTAACCGGGCGCTCTCAATTAATGACGATTCTTAACCGCCAAAACCACAAGTCCGAGTGACATCTGATGACCCACCCATTTAACCGCGCCAAACCCACCTCTCAAATCCCGCCCTTTCGCTAGCCTATCTCACCTCCAATCCCCTATCCACCACAGCACCAAACTCGTCCATTACGGATCAAACCCCCAAAACCCATCTCCTTCACTAGCGAGTGACCATTCATGATCTCACTCGGCTGCACATACCGCATCTAGCCCGTGACAGCTGCACGACCCGGCCTAATCCCAGCCAACAGATCATGACGCTGAAGTGGCTGGCCTACCACCCACCACACACCGCCAGCAAGACCCTGGGTATATCCGTGGCTAGTGTTGACAAGTCACGGTCATGAAGGTACCTAGCGACCATATCGTAGGTCTATCCAAACGGAAGTACCAACCTCCCCCCCTTCTCTACGAAGAGTGGGATAGGGACATGGATGGGTAATTCTCTCCAACTTGAGCGGGTTGTGCTGGTCACCCATACGCTGCGGCGCGAGTAGAAGGAGGTTGGCCCTTCCTCCTCGCGCGCTCTCCCGAGGCCGAAACGAATGAGTTACTGACAGCAGTGACAGTACTGACACTGACAGCTCCTATGGGAAACTGTGGGGCCGGGCACGTGGTCGTGCCGCAGGATCGAGAAGGCCGGGCCACCCAAACCAATTTAAACCCGCCACTCTAACTCCCCCAGAAGTAAAAGTTCCGATGGGAACATATGTGACTATGAATACCGTGTCCAACCTTAAAACTGCATTTAGACCCTATGGGTGTAGAGTGAGCATCGCTCAAGTAATCGTAGAGAGGATCAGGAAGACTTGAAGAGGAAGCCTCATCGTGCCGGTAATACAGAGTAATTCCAGAGTGCGATATGCGTGTCTGTCTGATCCTCATCACGATACAAACATCCAATGCCTGTGAACCCTAACCCTAACAGCATTTTGGAACAAAACCACCCCACCCGGCACTTGCTTTAATTCTACTCGACTGCTACATATATGTATGCAGTTTGCGTTTATTATGCTGCATAGCAGCAAAGGCGAATTCCAGGTTCAAACAAACCCCGCTATGTAAAGTCGAAATAACCCAGCAAAGTGTATATTTCCCGGGAGGACGACGAAATCCCCGCTTTTGTTCTCTCGGGCTCTACTTGTTTACCACGAAAAGAACCAGAAAATGCAGTTGCTCAGGATTATTTGTATGGAGTGGTGGTGATCTCTCATACTTGCATTTTCTGGTTCTTTTCGTGGTAAACGAGTACAGCTGTCAGCGCGCAACAGCGACGGTGCGCCTCTATCTGCGCTTTTATGAGTTGCCATCCCAACCGGCTCGCCCGCTGTCCGCACGGGAAAGCAAAAAATCCAATCGTCCATAGAGTGTAGAGTAGATAAGCGGGAGTGGTAAAATCTTCTGGTTGGCTGCATGTTCATGCAATCCCTACATACAAGGAAGCTTTTTCTTTCCATTCCTCACACGCATACAGATTTGCACAGTGACTGGACCCTGAGAGAAATAGAGAGGGTGTCACATACCTACAGCCGTAGAGTAGACCGTAGCACTCACATTGTTTAACGGCCGTTACACATAGAGCAAAATGCCGGGTGCAAGTGACGGCATCTCATATTGATTGCTGCGATTCGATCGGTGTTTTTTTTCTTCTCGTCGACATTTTTTTTGTGAGGTATTGGATGGACCCGGAGGATTGGTTGAGACGGCCGGGTGGTGGTTGTTGAGTGGGTTTTTGGCATGTCACGCACGCACGCACACACTCACGCATGCGTGCACGCATGAGGAGGAACAAGTGCTCACACTGGGCTACCGCCGCGAGCTGCGGGAAACATTCTCTTTGCCTGCCATGATATTTCTTTTTTGCGCACCTAATATCGAGATTTCGATAGCTGGCTGTGTAGATACTCACTTCCTCTGCGTACGTACTCTTGTTTAGCTGGGGTGAGGTGAGGTGAGCATGAGCTGTTTGCACTATTCGGTGTCATCCAAGCCGGGCAAAACCGTTACTTGACAGGCAGATGTTTAAAAGCGTCCCAGCCAGTCTGCGTAGAGTAGAGTAGGTCATCATAACCCCAACCCAACCCAACCCCAACCCCAACGTCCCCAACCCAGCCTCAGCCCCAGTTATCGAAGAGTCGATCCACGCACGTCGTCTGCACCCGTCTCGTTCGGGACGTCTCGACCTCCCGCCGTCGCGCAGGTCCCACAAAAGTGTAGCTGCACCAAAGGTTTGCTCCTTCTGCGGCGCGGGTCTCCGCGAAGGGAAAAAATACAAACCAGTAAAGGGTTAAGGCGAAAAGCACCCGGGCTACATACTCCACTTGTAGGTATCAGAACTACACTACACACCTACTCTACCTACTGCACCTGCCTGCTACCTACTGTAGGTAAGCCATGCGTAAAGGTGTGAATAATGGTGTAAGGGACGTTAGGGACGCCAGGGACGCCAGGGACGCAGCACATAAACTAGATAGATGTATGTACCTGCTCTGGCTCAGCGACCGGCCATTCGGAGACCCTGGGTGAACGTGGCTCCAATTGAAAAGCTGCCTACCGGTAGGGACACCCGGGTTGGTTGGCTACTGGGCGGTTGGATATGTAGGATCAACCAAGCAGTTCAATGGCGAGACGCTCCCGACCATGAGTAAACCCGTCATGGTGGGGTGCGAAAAATAGACCTCTTCCAGGACAGGACAGGACAGAAGGGGAGAGAAGGAAAAAAAAAAGGATGTAGGTGAGTATGTCCTCCTATCCCCTAGGTAGGTAAAGCAGGTAGGTTATCCTGTCTTATCTGGCCCGTCATATGTAGGTAGAGTTATATTTTTTTGCATTCCCTTTCTCTTTTTTTTTATCCTACAATAGTTCTTTGCGCATTCAGATGAGGTGTGGGTTTGCGGTGCCTGGAGCGAGAGATATCCACGTTTGAGCGAGCGAATTTACCGATTTGATCTTTTTTTATCCTCTTTTGTTTTTACGATCCTGAGCTTGACCTACCGGAGAAGAGAAGGGAAAAAAAAAGGAAGGATTGGTTATTATTGAGCAATCAGATTCAACAAATAAAAGCAAATCAATCATGAGCAGCGACAACGAAGGGACAGCACCAGCAGTAGAAGAAGTGGTAGTAGCGGCAGAGGAAGAAGAAGAAACTGTTCAATCAGTGCTAGAGGGGGATTCGGGGGATTCGGACAGCACGCAAGATGCGAACGACGAATCTCGATCTGCCCCACAGGTGGTAGACTCGTTGCAGTCTGAAGAGGAAGGGGACAGCAACGGGCAGCAGGAGCAGCAGGAGCAGGAGGAACAACAGCAAGAAGGCCACGACAACCACGCAGGTGAGGAAGAGGACGGCGGTGTGAAGGTACACCACGAAGACGACGAGGAAGGGGAGGCAGAGGGAGCGGACGGGGACGGGGACGGGGATCAGAATGGGCATGTAGGTGGGGTGGAGGGGATATCAGAAAAAGGTTGTGATGAACAGCCACAGCCTCCTAGCCCTCCACCACCTCAAGATACGGAAGAAACGGAAGAGGTGGAGGAAGGGGAACTAGTCGAAGTTGAGGGAGACGATGAAGAAGAAGGTGATGATGAAGATGACGATCTAAGTGATAGCGATGAAGAAATTGAAGAGGACGAACGAGAAGAAGAAGTGGTACCTAGAGAAGTAGACGTCGTACAGGCCGAAGAGAACTCACAACCAAAAGATGCAGAGGATGACACCCAACAGCCTTTTCCGGAGGAAGAGGTAATAATCACACCAGACACAGCAGCAGCAGTTGCAATAGAACCAAGCCAGGATGATGATGTTGAAAACTGTACAGAAGCGGTCAAAGATCCCTCCTCCCCTCCCTCCTCACATCCACCCTCACGGTCAGGCTCTCCACCGCCACAGCCTACAGAGGTGGAGGCACCTTCTCCAAACGACGTTCCAGAGTCCACTGAGCTGCTGCCAGAGGATCAGCCATCGGCTCCATCAGATCCACCGAGTGCGGACGGTGACTTAGTCTTAGACGACGAAGATAATAAAACTGACGATAATACTGGTGAGAACCCCAATCCATCAATCACTGAGCACCCTTCCTCCCTTCTCTCCGCTGCCCACACCCTTGCGCAGTAGCAGCAACCTGCAGGTCTACACACTCTCTGAGTGGTTGAAGGCTGGAGCTCTCTGTTTCAAGAATCAGGATATCGCTCCCTTCCCTGTCTCTGCCAAGCGCGCCTTGCTGCGGGGTGCGACCGCCTCGGCCATCCACTCAGCTTTCGCCCCATTAGTGTGTACACAAGCTAATAAGCGAGCGTCGTCCCATAGGCCGTGACGAGGCTCCTGACCCACCGTTCGAGACAGCAGGCAAAGAAAACAACCCCAACCCCGCCGACACCTCAGCTGAAGATTCTGCTGCTTCTGCTTCTGTTGCTCCCATTTCCGCTCCCGATTCCATTGACCCCATCCTAGAATATCAAGAACAGAACGCCAACTCGGGAGAAGAACAAGAAAAAGAAGAAAGCGATCAAGAGGGAGAGCAGGTTCTGGTACAGGATCGCGATCAAGAGAAGATCCTTGATACTGATTTCGCGGAACAACCACCACTCGATTCAACCCATCAGCTAAGGAGAGATAATAATAACAACAATAACATAATAATCACTGTAATTTACGACATTAACGAACCGCTCCCGCTGCCCCCTGCTGGATATCAAACAGCCATAACCCACCCAGCTCCTCCTCCTCCTGTCGCAGAGCAAAAAGAACACGTTAGCACTGAAGTTGTTGAAGAAGCAGAAGACGTAGGCGCTGTCCCCACCGCCAACACCGCCGACGACGACGAACCACAGCACTTTCCGGTGCTAGAGCCGCAGCAGGAAGAGGCCAATCCCAACGACCCATCAAAGACTGACAACGAGGAGCTTCCTGGTGAAGTAGAACCCTCCCCAACAGCTGCCGAAGAAGCAGTATCTGTCGAGGTTCCCCCGCCAGCTTATACCCCCACAGAACCCGAAAAAGACCCACAGGACCCAATCGTAACCGCGCCCCCCATAATGTCTGAAGTATCTGCACTGTCCAATGGCACTGGCTCCTATAAGGATGCCACGCCGCCCACCCTGCAGCAACCATTTACGGAAAATCGCTTCGAAACGAGCTTCGCCGCCGGCCCGCTGGATGACGAGGCTGCTGCTGCTGCCGGCGCCGCGGCGCTCGCCATGTCTGCGGTTGGCATACCGGACGGCTCCAGGAGGCCCAAGAAAGACAAGTCTCATAGAAAGAAGGATAGGTCTTCTGGTGACGGAACCGAAAAGGAAAGGAAGCACAGAGATAAGGGTGATAGGGGCGACCGGGAAAGGGCTAAAAGTAGAGACAGAGGCGAGAGAAAAAGGGACAAGAGCGAACTCGGGATTGGCGAACGCCGAGCAAAGTCGCGTGACCGTCTACGAGATGACGGTAAATCACGAGATCGGGACCCTAGAGAGAAGGAGAAGGAAAAGAAGCACAGGACCCCCGAAGAAAAAGCCGAACGCGAGGCACGAAAGGCTGCGAAGAAGGGCCTGACCGCGCCAACGCCCGTATACGCAGATATCGCCGCAGCGCCTTACGATCAGTACGACCAGCAGTATGATCAACAGTACGAAGAGGACAGGCGCAAGCCGAAGAAAGCCTCCAGACGTAACGGTATTGTTGCGGGAGAATTTGTAGAACCTCAGATCGTAGGCGGTGCGGAAATGCCATATGAGGAGGAGCGGAGGGAAAAGAAGAAATCCAAGAAATCTCGCCCGCCACCGATTGATACCGAATCGACGCAGCAACAGTATGAGCAGCAACAAGAGGATCAACTGAAGCGCAGGAAGTCGTCGAAGAAAGCGGCAGCCATTCTTGGTGAATCTGTCATCATGAACGAACCCCCGATGTCACCATACATTGATGGACCAATAGAGCATCCCAAGCGGAAAAAGTCTTCCAAGAAATCACCGCCACCTGATATCGGCGCCGAGCCTGTCCAGGTGCTTTATGAACCTGATGCCCGGCCGCCGCCAGCTGGATCCAACAGAAGGTCCCGCTCCGACTCTTTGAAAAACCCAATCCCAGGACTCAATGGGAGCTCTGGGTCCGGAGAAAAGAAGCACAGCCACAAGAAGAAGGATTCTGCGCATTTGACCCCCGAGGAGAGAGAGAAGAGGAGGCGGAAACATGAAGACGACAAGGCGCTTCGAGAGGGCCGAGAACTCGGTATGTGCCCGCGAAACCAGACGATTATTTAGGATTAAGCTAACATAGGCCAGAAAACCACCTTTACAATGGAAACAAAGAGAAGCGAAAGCTTGAAAGGGCCCTCCAAAAAGCCGCCAAAGCGAAAGCTGAAGAGCTCGAGGGTATCCCTCCCCCGCTTGCTACGCCTCGCTTTACGGACGATCTCAACCTCCCGATCCAGAACCCCGACAACCAGCCCGAGGTCTCGCCGAGTGTCTACGGCGGTGACCAATACCTCCAGGGCCAGCCCCACCGCGACCAGCAAGACCTGAACGCTCCGAACCCAGAGGCGCCATTCTCACCCCGCTCGTTCGCTGCATCTGATGACCTGGCAAAGGCCGAGAAAGCGGCCCGGCGCGCTGAACGCCGCGCACGGAAGGAGCGCGAGGCACGACAGACCGATGGGGAGAACCCAGACCACCCGAAGGATTCCGGCCATTCCCTCTCATCTGAGGGAAAGCGGGAGCGCGAACACCACCACCATAAGAGCCGCGACAAGGGCGATCGCACACGCTCCCGATCTCGCCCTGCGGGCCCCGAAGACGAGGAGGAGAGACGGCGTCGAAAGGAAGAGAGGCGGGAGGCGAGGCGGTTGGCGGCATTGAATGGAAACGAGGTGCGGGATGTGAAGGAAAAGAAGAGCAAGCACAGGGAGGGCGGAAGACTCAGGAGTAACAGCGAGAGGAGCCGCGAGAAGGACATGATGAGAGAGATGGAGGTGGGGTACCCTGAGGGCTACGGAAACGCTTCGCAGCAGCCGTGGCAGGCGGGGAATATGACGGATGGAGAGGACGCCAAGGTCGGTTTGATGAGGAGGACCTTTAGTAAGTTTCTGAAGTTTTAGGGCGTATTTCCTTTTTTTGTCTTATTTTTATGGGTTCTTTATGTGTGGAATGATTGATGGATATTTTTGTTTTATGAATTGCATTATCTTGGGATGCATTTTTTGTTGGCTTGGGAAATGATTTTATGGCTGCGTTCGATCGTTAGGGGTTACTTGTTAGTTTTTTTGCACACACCAGCGCTGGAAGCATTTGCTATGTCTGTTTTTCTCTCTTCTTTCTTCTCTATCTATATTTTTTCTTTACCACTGTGGCAAATATCCCATTTCATAGCGTGGAGTAGCTCAGATTTCTTACTTTTTTTTTTACGAATCCGGTTACGAATTGATGTTGAAAAGAAAAATATGTATGTGTACGTACGACGTGCGCGGGGATATGTGATGTATGGTTTATTTCAACTAATGCTTCGATTCCTGCTTGCGGGTTTTTTCTTTCTTTTCTTTTCGGGGGGGGGGGGGGGGGGGGATATGGGTATTGGGTTTGGATACCGGTTATTATTATTATTATTCTTTTTTTTTATTTATATATTCTGGTCAGCCTGGTATTACTATTATTTTTTACTCCACTCAACTATTTTTATACGGGGGACATTGGGAATTAACATATCAGGAGCGTGCAAGCTAGTGTTTTCGTTTGTTTCTCGTGTTGATTACAATTATCACTAATCCGGGCGTTAATGTTGTGTCTCTGATGAACTGGTGGGGACGATATGATTCAATTCTGTGTTTTACCATGCAGAGCTCACGTCCATCATGTCAATGCAGGCGCTCATCTCATCCTGCTTACTTACATGTACCCATCCATGGCCATATTAAGGCACCCACACCCTACCCGGCACCCGCCCACCCACACTCATACACACACAGCCGCTACCCGGCAAACCACATCACAACATCTCACACTTCCTCATCTCAATCACACTGTCTCACTCGGTCCGTCTCTTCCTGTCTATCAGTTCTGTTCTGTCTCGAGCAAGCACGTGCCGTGTACCCCCCACACCCCTGCATATCACCCGGGCATCTCCGGCGCGGTGGTCCGTAGGCGTAGGGGCAGTCCGGATTAGTGAGGTTGAGACAGAGTGGGTATAATTGATGGGGTATTAAATGTTAGCTGTTAAAGTGGTTGGTTATAGCTAGAGTACACGTAGCTATAGAGAGCTAGCCTTGTAATTATAGCGACCATGAGGTGTGGACATGTAGTTGTACTCTAGTTGTAGGTAGTTAAGCTTAAGGCCAAGACTTGAGAGGAGTGGACGAGGGAGGCCCAAGCGGAATGGATCGTGGGGCTTTGCTTTTTTGCATGTGGAGGGATGCAGTGGGATGGGATGGGATGGGGATGAGGTGGTGGGTGGTTGATCTGCGACCTCCTCTACTGTTCCAGGGAGGAATAAAAAGGGAGATCAGGGTGGGATCGAAGGGAAAGTGATATGAGGAAGATTTAACCCATCAAAGAAAAAAAAATAACCAAGACATCAAGGCAACTCCTAGTCCTCGGCCTCATTTCATGACCCACCCCGGATCCACTCCATGATCCATCATCGATCCCCCCCCCCCAAAAAAAAAAAAACCAAATCCCCAATATCCCAGAGACAACAAACAACAACTTAATTGATCAGTCGGTACCTGTCACTGTCAAAAAAAAAAAAAAAAAACCAAACCCAAACCCAAATTTGGTGGTGGTGGCATCCCGCACAGATCTGCCGCGTTCCCCTGATTTAGCTCTATAGGGTTATATAGACTAGTGATCTACTCTAATTCCACCGTCTCTCTCTCCCCTGATTTAGGGTTATTGACGGATAACAGCTTTTTCTGCTCTGCACGGACACACTACTAGCTCTACTGTGTCTCACCCCGAACGAGCCCAGTCCCCCGGGCTACGGGTTCGGGCTCGTGCTCATGCTCGGATGGGTGTGTCCGTGGTGCGTTGGTTACGGGTGGCCGGTCGCGGAGGGAGGGAGAGAGAGAGAGGGGGGGGGGGGGGCGTTTGATAAGGACGTACTCCTGCAGTGGGGAGTGGAATATAAAATCGATGCCTTTTCGCACCTCCCCCCTTTGGTCGTGAGTATTTTTTGTAGAGTTTGGCTGGGACTTTGGTTACTGGTGATATATATTACTGGACGCTATAAAGATATCCACTATATTAAATTACATATACACACTCACTCACCATGCCGCCGAAAACACCCTCCCCCACAACCACGCCCTCCCCCACACCGGCCTCCACACCCACACCCGCTGCAACACCGCTCACCAAGCCCGCACACTCCAGTAAGCTCCCCCTGCTCCCCCTCCTCCCCCCCCTTACCCCCCCAAACACACACTAACCCCCCCCCCCTCCCCCCTCACAGCATCCAACTCCCCCGTCCTCCGAAGCATCCAATCCCACCTAAACCTCACCCACAACGACGCCCTCTTCACCGCCCTCCGCGCAACAGCCCACACCCTCCTCACCGACGCCGGCATCCTCCTCGCCAGCGCAAACGACCAGGCCGTGCAGATCCGCAAGCGCCAGGTCGCGCACGAGCTCGAGAAACTGCACCCGGAGGTCTTTGCCGCCGGAACGGCGGCGGGGACGGGGATGGGGACGGGGGCAGGAGGGGAGAGGACGTACGAGATGAGGAAAAACACGAGTTATGCCCTGCTGACGCTGACGATGGATGTGGCGAAGCGGCGGATGAAGCGGCGGAGGGGTGCAGGCGCGGGTGCGGTGACGGTAACGGTGACGGCGGAGGAGGCGATGTCGGCGGCGGTGGGGAGAGGTGCAGGTGCAGGTGGTGGTGGAGGTGGAGGTGCGGCGGGGAGGAGGAATACGCCGTCGCCGTCGCCACCGCCGCCGCTGCAGATGGCGGTGACGTCACAGCTGCAGATGCAGACGCCGCTGACGCCGCTGGCGGTTGGAGACACGCCGCCACCCACAGCACTACCGACACCGCCCACCTCGAGTTCCGCGGCGTCGTCACAACTGCCTACCTCCACCTCCACCTCCACACCCACACCCCCAGCATCCCAAACCGGACCAACACCGCCGACAATCCTCATCCCCCTCCCACACCCGCTCACGCCGCGCGACTGCTGCCGTGTGCAGCTCTGCGACCTCACCGACTCCACATCCACCAACCCGACGCTGCGGAGGCTGCACGAGTGTCTGCGCGAGGACGGGCTGCCGTGGGAGTGTGGCGAGTACGTGATCCTGGACAGCGACGGCGTGGCGGTACGGAATGACCGTGGGCTGCGGTGTGCGTTGGGGGTGATGGCGGCGAGGGGGCTGGGGGTGGGGGTGTGGAGTGTTGTGAGGTTGTGATGTTGTGCGGGCGGGGAGGGGAGGGGAGGGGAGGGGAGGGGGTAGGGTATATAAAGAGGGGGGTGGGGGGGTGGGATGGTATATAGATGGGTAGATGGATAGATAGAGTGTGGCGTGGGTCGGGCTTGGGTTAGTTACATGTATGTAGTTAGGTTATATAGTTCTTTTTTTTGGTTATGATATGAGTACTTAAAGTATTTCTGTAGATATGGTTTTAGATTATTTTTATTATTATATAAACATCGCATCTCTCTCTCTCTCTCCATACGTATACACACTCTCTCCATACATCCCCACGACCTCACCGACTCCCCCCCATATAATCCATAGATGGACGATAGAGATCGAGTGTAGTACATATAGTGTTGGGGTCTTTATTAGGCTGGGATTATAAATTAGGTTACATACATAGCCACACAGCTGGCTATGACATGCAGTGCTTTCAAAATCCTGTAGATATACTTTTAGACATTATTATTATACTACACTCCCCTCCCTCTATATCTCCAGCTAAGCTTACAAGTAACCACATGTACATGTATCTCTCCACCTACGCCAAACACTCAAACAAGCCAATTAATACAAACCACCCAAACCCCCATACCTCCCCTCGCAAGCCCCCACCACACCACACCACACCACACCACACCACAAGCACACACCCACCGACCGAGTGACACCCCATGAAGCATCTTCCCTGCTCAGCCTGGTTGTCGTGGGTGGTTGCTATCAATGATCACCACTACAGGTTTTTAATTTTAGCAGGGGTATTAACTAAGCTACCAAGCCACTACTAAACTACTGCGGGTATTTGACGACGACCATCCACTGCAGGCAGGCAGGCAGGGCCAGGGAGAGATATTGCAGCCTCGTACGCTACTGACCCTACGTCATTTTCCTAGTTGCGTGCACAGGGTTTGTACTGTGTGATACGGTTGGGTTGGGTATATTGTATTGTAGTGGGCATCAGTAGAGTAGCTAACTTTCCCTAGCAACCGGTCTTTTAGCATAGCAACCAGAATTTCTAGCATAGCAACCAGATCAAAAAGGACTCGAAATATCTATAAAAATAACCAACCACCACCACAAAAAACACCGAATGGGTCTAGGAACGAGACTTTGGATACCCCAATATTCCAATCCCCAAGGCCCACGCCCACATAGCTAATAAAAAAACAAGCAGTCAAGCAATTGCACGTCCTCATTTCACAACCCGTGTATCAAGGTCAAACTCCATTCATTAACCCACCAGAAGCGTCGAGCGCGAGCTAATCTAACTACCGACTTCTAGAGTACCCCCGCCTCCCCAAGCACCATGTACCAAACCCCCAACCCACTAGTATGTGCCGAACCAGCAGCGCCTGCTTGTGCTGCTACTTTTCCCCATGCCCGAAGTCCTCCCCGCCCTAACCCAGCTCCCGCCAAAGTGCTGCCACATACATAGCACCTCCTCAACAAGACTAAGTTCTCGTAACCTCTCTTATAAACATCCAAAAGCCCCTAAAGGCCCTCCCAAAGAAATCCACCAATCCACAAGTCTCATAAGCAGGTGGGTATTCCTATGCGTCAATTCCCCGCCTCCACACCTGTCCCTACTCGCAGATCTAGAGCCAGTCTTCCTATCGGCTGCAGTCACACGATTGACACCAGCCGTTCTATAAACCAGCTCAGCACCACCAGGAACCGTAACCACCCCAGTCCCACGGTAGGATAGTCAACCCCGTGCACAAGGTCCCCTCTGTTCGCTAAGCCAATCATCCCAGCCCCAACAATCTGGTTGACACCAGCCGCTCCGCCCATCAACGCAGGCCCGTTAGACACACGGGCCGTGCCGGCGCCACACCGTGGGCAGTCAGAACATCTGTGCCTGTGCTCGTCTCCCGCGACTACGTCGGCCGCACTGTGCAGTAGGTCGGCCCCTTCGCGTACTATGTCAGCACCTGTGTAAACAGCCAAGTCGGTCGTGTCACGGACAAGTTCGGCGCCCCCGCGGACAAAGCCGGCCCCCGCGTGAACCAAGCCAGCCCCAGTATCTGCTACAAGAGAGTCCAGAGTCCAATATGGTGTCTAGGCCTGCGGGCCTGCTGCAACCTCTGCAGCTGTCGACTACATCTCTCGAGCATGCAGCTTCTCCAACTGCTCCGTGACCTCCGCAGGTATGGGTAGATATAGTATTATCTTCCCGAGCATAACCCGGCTGATCATGAGGCCGTTGCGAGTAATGTGCTGATCGATGACCACAGCCATCAGCTCGATGTGCCTCCTCTCGGCGTAGAGCACTGCAGCTAGTCCTGGGACCCGACTCGTGGGAGGTCGCCCGGATCTCTATACTATTACCATTGCGGCCCCACAGCCTGAGAACTCTCTATGATCAGCGGCACATCTACCACCGCTATAGTTACCGCAACTAGCACAACCGGCATGTGCACAACCACTGGCACCGGCGCCACCTCGGTTCTCGCCGGAGCCACCCTCGCCAGCAGCACAGATAAGCAGCCTCTGCTCGCCTCCGCCGTCTGCGTCATGCTCTCGTGGCTCCGGGTCTCAATGTCATCCGGAAACGACGCAGGCCGACGGTACTCGCCCGACGCTTTATATAATGTGTTTCACCGGGAAAGCGATCATCACCGGGAAAGAAACCGAAGCTCACAGAAGGGCATTACGAGCACCAAAACAATACCTATGAAACCATACATGTATAGGAGAGTTCTTTTGGTGTTTTTGACTATTTCTTATGATCATAGCGAGTATATAGCTGTGGGAGAGTCATCAGCTGTCATCAAGCCTTGGTGACCCACCCACAGCTATATGCTCGCTACCTATTAGTAACAATCATCAGAAATATTCGAAGATATCTCAAAATGACTTTAGTGTATTTAGTTCTGTAATTCTGGGTGATTTTGAATTTTTGTAGTAATTCGCGATCCCGTTCATGTCATGCTTGGTTGCTTTCCCGGTGACGATTGCGTTCCCGGTGAAACACGTTAATACATATCGTCAAATCAACCACTTATATGGAGCAAGGCAGATCAAAGATAAAGACTCACCTCGACCTTGAATGGGAGCGTTAACAACCACAAGCGGCATCTCCCACTGTGTCCGCTTGGTGGCGAGATCAACATAGTAGAACCGCTGGTAGCAGGCGTCGAAGCGGGCGGTCCAGCCGTAGGGGAGGTGGGGGTGGGGGTGGGGCGGGGTGTGAGGAGGGGCGTAGGTGTTGCCTTCTCGGCGGGTGGATTTTCTTCTGCGGTGCATCATTTGCTGGGTGGGGGCTAGATGGGTGGATTATATATGGTACAGCACGGGGGGTAATAGTAGATGGGCCCGGGGGTTGTAATGATAGTAATTGTGGTTTGGAGGTTTGGAGGTTGGGGGGATGGGGGTGAGTTTTATCGCAAGGTAAGTAGACGGAGATGGGAAACCGTGGTTTCACTGTGGGGGGATGTGTATCAATTGTAGAGGAAGACACGATAGCTATAGGCATTTAGTTTGGTGCTGAGTGTAGGACGTGTCAGAGGAATACCGTGGTAGCTTGCTGTTCCTACCGTTGACAGCAGGTGAAAACCTAACCCTAGAGACGAGTGATATTTGGAGAACCGAAGGTAAGATCTAATCTTATCTACTTGGTGGAGAAGCTTAACTGCATCCTGGCTGCACCTTCTGCTGTATGTGCACCGCCATGATAAGATATAGCTGTGCAGATGCATCGAGATGTCGGGGAAGGGTGGGAGGCTTCTGGTGGAGCAGTGGAACGGGATGGATCGAACATGTTGCATGGAAATACACGTACGCACACTCTCGGGTGAGGGCAGATCACAGTGACTGCCGTGTGTATTCCTGGAACATTCTTCTCCTGTGATACGTACAAAAAGATCTATACGGAACTCCTGTTCTCCAAAACGCTTAGAGACCCAAGCCAAACACACGTCTTTCTTGCTGACCGCCCGCAGCTGGCGGTGGGGACTCTGTTGTGGGGACTCTTTTGACGCCGCTACCGGAACAAGCCGCACTGCGGCTCTTCCACCCCACGTGGTCCGTGCCCCGTCCGGGTAACACGCACACACAAACGCTATTTGGCAGCCTCACGCATGGGCCGATATGGTCTGACGGTGCGAAGAAGAAAAAAGTTTCATCCCAACTTTCTCCTCTCGCAATCTCTCTTCTCTCCTCTCCTCCTTACATTCCCACTCTCATAGACATCAACAACCACAATTCCCAACCCTTCCTCCCTCCACAATGGCCAAGCGAAAGGCTGAAGGAACAGCTGCCCCCAGCTCTCCCGTAAAGAAGGGAAAACCGTCAAAGGCCTCCTCGCCAGCTCCGGCCCCGGCCCCCGTGGACGTCAAATCCTCGTTCCGGAAGGGCCTCTTCGACAAGGCCGTGCAAGCCCAGTACCGAGAAGAATATGCTTCCTCCACCCCGTATGCTGCCTGGACACTGTCCAACTCCCACCCCGCCCCGCCCCGCCCCGCCCCGCCCCGCCCATACCCATTGCAATCCCGGTTGGGGAAAAATACACACATCTATAGCTACACAGTTTGAATTAACGTTTCCCCCTTCTCTCTCTCGGCCCATAGCTACAAACACGCCGTGATCCACTCGCTAATAGACGACGCCCTCCTGCGCTCTGTCCGCACCGAGGCCCTCACCTCACTACACTTCACGCCCAAAGAAACCGACATCTACCGCATCCACCAATCCGGCGACCTCGCCAACCTCGACGGCCTCCCGCGCGCCATGCAGAGGCTGCTCCCTCGCTGCGCCAGCTCCGCGACGCCCTCTACTCAAAGACCTTCCGCGACTACGTCTGCGCCGTCACCGGCTGCGGCGCCCTCAGCGGCACAAAGACAGACATGGCAATCAACGTCTACACGCCCGGCTCGCACCTGCTGACGCACGACGACGTCATTGGCTCCCGCAGGGTCTCGTACATCCTGTACCTCACGTCCCCGGACAGCCCGTGGCAGGAGAGCTGGGGCGGCGCGCTGCGCCTGTATCCGACGGTGGTGGCCGACGACGGCGTTACGAGGGTGCCGGAGCCAATGTGGGAGAAGGTGATCCCGCCGGCGTGGAACCAGCTGAGTTTCTTTGAGGTGCAGCCTGGATTGAGCTTCCATGATGTGGAGGAGGTGTATGAGTGCGGCGACGACGAGGAGCGCATCCGCATGGCTATCAGTGGGTGGTTCCATATCCCGCAGGAGGGCGAGGAGGGCTACATCCCTGGTCTCGAGGAGGAGCTCGCCGAGAAGAGCTCCCTACAGCAGCTACAGAGTAAGAGCGACACCTTCGACTTTCCAAAGCCCCAAGCAGTCACCGAGGAAGTCAAACCCCAAGCAGACAACAACAACAACAACGAAGAAGACGACGAAGCCAGCGACGACACAATCCTGACAGAAGCAGACCTCACCTTCCTGCTGCAGTACATCGCGCCCACCTATCTGACGCCCGACACACTAGAAGAGCTCCGCGACGCCTTCCGCGAAGACTCCTCCGTGCAGATCACGCACTTCCTCTCAAAGTCCTTCTCCGCCAAACTCAAAGCGCACCTCGACCCCCTCGACAGCGCCCTGCACGCCGCCCCCACGCCGCCATGGCGCGTCGCCACCCCACCACACAAGCACCGCTACCTCTACCTCCAGCAGCAGGGCAGCAGCCGCGCACCCACCACCCCCATCGACGAGCTCCTCACCATCCTCTTCCCCTCGCGCCCATTCCGAAAGCTCCTCCAGCTCGCCACGGACACGCAGCTAACGCCCGCGGGCAACCTCCTCGCGCGCCGATTCCGCCGCGGCCTCGACTACACGCTTGCGACGGGCTACGGGGGCGCGGGCGCTGGCGAGATTGACGAGAACGGCGAGGGCGATGGGGAGGCTGCTGCGGCGGCGATGCGCGTCGAGGTGTGTTTGGGTGTTACGCCGTCGAGGGGGTGGGGCGGCGAGGAGGAGGATGACGACGGTAGGGAGGGGGAGGGGGGGAAGACGGCGGGGGGCGCGAAGAAGAAGGGGAAGGCGAAGATGAAGGTGCCCAGGCCGAGTAAATTTGATGACTCGGAGAGGAGTGTTGGTGGTTATGAGATGTGCGTTCTCACACCTCCCCTCCCCGCACAGTGGGTAATAGGCTGATCGTAGTAAAAACAGGTACATGGCCGGCGACGACTCCGACAGCGACACCTCTTCCGATGACGACGACGACGACGAAAACGCGGGCGCCAAGAAGAAGAAGAGCAAAAAGTCGGATCCGGCAATCTACAAGACGGCCAAGGCCGACGACGACGACAGCGTGCTGTTCACGATGCCGGCCGCGTGGAACAGGTTCAGCATTGTGCTGCGCGACGCGGGCGTGCTGAAGTTTGTCAAGTATGTTTCGCAAAGCGCGAGGGGCGATCGGTGGGATGTTGTTGGGGAGTGGGGGGTTGCTGAGGATGGGGAGGAGGGGAGGGTAGTGAGGAGGGGGAAGGGGAGGGGGAGGGGGAGGGGGAGGGGGAAGAGGGGGAAGGGGAGGAGTGGGCGGGGATTGATGATGATGATGAGGAGGAGGAGGAGGAGTAGGGGTTGGTTTGGGTTTTTTTGTCTTGTCGTGCTAGATGGGTGGTGGGAGGGGGGAGGGGGGAGGAGTGTATACTAGTAACTAACCCCCATCTGCGCAGAAATAAAAAGTTTCGCCCGTTTTCTCTATTTTCTTTCTTTGTCTTCCTCCTTTTCTTTTGGCATCTTGTGATTTTTGGGTTGCTTGTGATTTTCATAGAGACAGGTCGTGGTTGTGTTCTTCATGGAGGTTCGGGTGCGGGTGCGGGCGGGGGGCGGGGGGAAACTGCGGTACACCTATCTCTAGCCTACCTAGCTAGCGGCCAGCTTATCCACATCCCCACACCACCACCACCACCACCAGCTGCCCTATAAGTAGCAGCACTCTTTCCCCTCCACTACCAATAACCGCTATAGGTAGTGAGTGGGCGGGGTGGGGTATACACGCCGGCCTGCCCCTGTCAATGATTCAACAACCACATCACACCACACCGCGGTGTCAATGATCACACACACCGCTCATCTTCGATCATGGTGTATCACTCGGTTGCCATCGGGTGACGAACGCGTGTCAATGATAAGTGCAATCATGAGGTGTCACTCGGTGGTTCGGCCCCTGCGCTGTGGTTTTTTTTTTTTTTTTTTTTTTTTTTTAATTCATTAATTGCATGCAACCTTACAGCTATGGCAATGTCCCCTGAACTACCCTATCTCATCCACCGCCGCTCACACAGTATTTAGACAAATGAAAATGAAAGCACATATAATAGTCCTCGTCTCTAGCATCCTTCAAAGTGCCCCCCACCCATATATATCCTAGTTCTCTTCTTTCCTCTTCCGCGCTCTCGTCCTGTCCATTTCTCTCATATCTCCACCTTGTAAACTGTTTCCATATCTTCGTCGCTGCCTCAATCCCGCTGGCCTTCCAGCGGAGTTTGATGACTGTATTGTGTTCTTTATGGTTCGCCCGGCGCGCTGTGGGTGACTATATGTATATGTATATGTAAGTTGTCTTCCTTCTTGGCCCAATCAAACAGGTGTGGCGAGAATGGGTGTAGCTAACGTATTGCGTGTATATAAAATTAAACTAGAGTAACTAATCCCCCCCCCCCCAAATGCGTGTATACTGGTCCAGGAATCCCCTGCAACCTTGGCCCTTGACGAGGAAGGAAACGGAAACGGAAATAAAAAACGGAAATTGGAAACTCGGAAACAAAAAAAAAAGAAAAGAAAAACAAGAACGGAAATGAGAACGAGAAATGAAACAGAAAGAGAAAAAAAGAAGAAATTCGCCCACAGATCCATCTATCTGAAGAGGGGGGGGCTCTATATATCGTTTTGCTGCATATGTTCGTGGTATTGGCGTTCACCAATCAAAAAGCTCATAACCCGGTTCGTCTTCTTTTAGGTCACTGTGTTCCGTTTAGTTATTTGGATGCTACCCGCCGAGTTTGGAGCGAGAGGAGGGGGTGGAGGGTGATGTTAGGGGTAAAATACTCACTCTTCGATAGGTTCCAGGTCTCCTGCGGTTGCGGTATTGCGTTGACCCCCTTCCTCTTGGATACGAATCCTTTCTAACTCTTTTTCTAGCAATTCTACTATTTTCTTGTGACCTTCTTCGGTTGCCGCCCGCAGTGCTGTGCGTCCGTTGTTGCTTCCTGCCGGGGCGTTGACGTTTGCCTTCTCCTATAGTAGTCGCTCTACTATACTGCCTCGGCATTAACGTCTGCCTTCTCCTGTAGCAGTCGCTCCACTATATCAAGGTGTCCTGCTCCCGCTGCCGCCTGCAGTACTGTACGTCCATACTTTCCTCCCGGGGCGTTGACGTCTCCCTTCTTATCCAAGAGTAAATCCACTGTTTCTAAATGACCCCCCCTCTGCCGCTGCTTGTAGCGCTGTCATTCCCGAGAATTTCTGTATCCGTCTACTTACTCCAGCCAAACCGCCATTTAACATGCCACAAGATCGCCCCCGAATATCATTTATGATTTTTCCAGCATATTCAAACTGTCGCCCTGCCCCTGTAAACAGGCAGCCACAGGCTTTGCATTAATATCAGCGTTAAGATTCGAAAGTAATTCCACAAGTTCTAAATTACCAGCACCTGCTGCCGCCTGTATCGGAGTCCTCCACTGGTGTATTAGCATAAGATCAAGAGGTACTTGGTCGTCCTCCAGGGAATCTGTACTGAGAGTTTTGCGACGCATTTGATCAAGATGTAGTCCCGAGTTCTGACGTTGAAGATATGAACCCAGTTGATCCTTATGCATAAAAGTCCCATTCTTCCGACGGACGATTATTACAATTTGTGCTGCTTCAAATTTTAATTTATGTGATATCGTGTCACGAGCTGAGACATTTTGATCCCATATTTGCCTTGCAAGCTCTCCAGCCTCTTCTTCCTTTCCTTTATGTAGCACAAACCAAGCAAATTGCAAGATTATCCAGGATCCAGATTTCTGATGAATTTTCCAATCCTTCAAAGCCGTAAATGTGACTTGGAATATCTCGCTGAAATCCATTGTGGGATTGAGCTTTTTTTGACTAATGCATAGGTTCACCAGACCTTCTGCCCGAACAAAAGTGCGATCCATGTCATCTCGAAATTCCACGAAAGCCGAATTCCACTCTTCTGTCGACTCCGCACTAAAAGATAGCCTCAAAATCCTTGTAGTTCGTCTTAAACGACGCCGATTTATGCCGGCCACGATAGCCGGTCTATCAGGGACTACCCTTAGATTGGAAAGTATATATTTATCAATTTGAAGTGATTCGTTCCAACGTTTTTTACTCTCTAAAAAGGTTGCCACGCTTCTCAGCTGTTCGTGAACATCGTGAACGGAAAGCAATCTTCTGACGGCGCGTAACGCAGGAATGATAATCATGTAGGCCTCTTCAATTGAACCAAGATAAGATTCATCAAAGCTGGATGCGAGTAAATCTACGCCCGTGTTTGTCAAGCCACATTTATTCCAGAGGTCGCCTTCCTCATCAACCTCTGACCCATTGTTGGGTTCACTAGTAATGGTGCGCTGCGTGGTTGTTCCACCAACTCCCTTGATAACTTCCACCACCGCAAACATGAATGCCGCGTATAACTCCTGAACACAAAGTGTTTTGAGATCCGATCCAGCATCGACACACCAAAAATCTCCTTCGCCACTCGCCCGACCAAAGTATCTGATTTTATCATGATCAGACGAGCACGGTTGCTGCACCGGATTTGTCCCGCGGTAGGCCCATATTTTATAGTCGATCGTACATTCGAAAGATGCGAGGGATAAACAACGAACATTTGAGCGTGGATCTAATCCATTCCTAGCTCTTTCCCTGGATTCCTCCGTAAGAGAAGATATCCAAAGACAGAGGATAGCTTCAGGCTCTCCTCCCTTAACTCTCCATGGCTTCCACTTGTTATTCTGGTCTCTCTCTCTCTCGATAGTCATCTTCACCTTTGATCTTTGCGACTGGCTCTTCTCTACTTCCTTCACCTTCACCCAAAGAACCCACTCGAAGCTCGGTTCATCCTTATATTATCAAGCAATACCATATGAAGGTAAATAGTGTTCATTGCTGCCTCTATCGCTTTCTCGAGGTTGCGAACATGGACTCTGTCTTCTAATTTCCAGTTTTTGGATAACTCTGCAAGACTGGTTCGGATGGCCATGACTTCTGTTCCGATATTTGAAGGATGGTTTTCTGGTATGGATACTCCAGAGTTCTCGTTATCTTTGAGAGGAATCGGGGATATTTCGGGCCCTGAAATAACCACCCATATCTCACAGCCCTTCAAGTGCTTTGCGAGCCAGTCTAGCTCATGTCCCTCTACATCATCTGGCTCCTTGGTATCATTGTCGCTCTTTCTCTGGATGTGTGCACAGGATCGTATAGCAGTCATGATCAAAATAGCTCCCAATTGTGCCGCAGTTACTGATGAGTGCAATGCGCGCATTGCGACAAATTGCGCGATAAAGCCGACTAGGGAAACGCCAACTGTAACCAGAAAAGGCAGAATTGTCCTCGCTTTATTCTTATGCGATGTTATAATCGTTTCGCCAGAAGTTTTGCGTGCGAATGATTCGAACCGTTGATCGCCGACAGTTTACCCTCCTTATTAGAGCCAGATCATGCTATATGTATCTGTATCAGCATTTTCGGCTGGGACCCAAGTCTTTTCTTCAGTGCTCAACTCCACAACCTGCGCGCACAGAAACATTCCAATGGCAAGCACTACTGTGCCTGCTAGAAAGAGCGGGAAACCATAACCTATCGGCGGGGCATCGTTCTTTTCTAACTTTAAAATATACTGAGTAATTGCGGCATACACAAGAACGCCACCCTGAACAATAACCCCAATTACAATGAAAAGGATTAAAACCCATTTTGGTACAGGTACCATGCTGACGTTCAGTGAAAGATTGGGGGGATTTTGACGTTTTCGGTATTCTTCGATCTCTGGATCGAGAGGTCTGCTAGGCTTCTCAGTGCCCTGGGTGTCTTTCCCCTTCTCATTGTATCGGCCTCTAGAGATTGCATCCTGGAAGGTGTAGATTTTCGATTGATTCCCAACACCCGGCTCCGAACCACCCCCACTTGACTTTTCGTAAACCAATTGCAATAGTACTGGGCGGCCAAGAACCCTAACGACGCCTTCACCATTCCATAGCTCGCAGACGTCTGAAGATGTGGAGGACATCAAATCGGCCTCCACCTGACCATGACTTTCCTTTGCTCTGCCAACCAGCGACCTCAATTTCGGGCTGCCTCCAACACGGATCGCGGACACTATAGCGGTGATGACACCTAAAGAAGCAAGACAAAATATTAGATTATCAACCCAACTCAACGCCTCACTCATGTACTGCTTGGTGACTTGTTCGCCGAAGAGCGCGAGTAATGGTGCCAAATCGCTCCCAAGGTTATTGGCGAAATCATCCCATCCTCCCGCTGGGTCGCAAGCAGAGCCTACACATGCGGCAAGGGCATAACCGGGGAAGTATAGGAAAGCAATAAATATATTATATCCCATGAGGAGGTTGCTCCTAAGGTTGACGAGAGGGAAGACCGCATATGGTGGCCCCATCGATCTTATGTAACTAACCGCGGGTCGAGTAATTTTTATTTCCTTTGAATAATCTATACCTGTAGTTAGCCTATGTACTATAAAACTAAAATAAATTACATACAAATGATAATAAAATATAAAATATGCTTACTTTGAAGAGAATGGTTATGTGACTCCGTACTCAAATTCAAAGGTGAAGAAGAATATGAGGCCCCAAGCTTAAGTCAAGTTCCGAATACCAAAATCCCTACATGTAGTAGCAAAAAAGTCAGCATCATCATCATACTCTAGTAAGGCATTCTATATATATATCTTTTTACAAAGCCTCTTCCCAATAGTAGACAGAGGTCTAATGTATAACTATATGTAGCTTAATGCCTCCAATAACTTCCAATTTTAGTCCTAGTACTGCGACTACCAGTACGTGCAATACTAGCTAGCTGATCGATATATCTATGAGCAGATAGTTCTAACCTGTGCATGTGCCAAATATGTCGATGAATGGGACTATTGAAAAGGTACGAGATTTGGTATGTGGGAGCGATGAATTCTTGCGTTTTTGGCATATATTTTCTTTGTGATCGGAGAAATACTCTGAGAAGAAATAAGGGTTGCTTTTTAATTACTAGCAAGCCCGTCTCGCGAGCAGATTTTTTCTGCACAATTTGAGACATTTCACTCATCACATTTCTACTTTCTACATATACCGACTCATGACCATGGTATAAGCTTCAAAACACAATTCGAGAGTAAGACACAACTTTGATCAAAAGCTTATCACGCCTTACAACTTCCAACGCCGTACATATGAATTCAAGAAATCCAGTTGTGGACTCTGAAGCGACCGCGTGTAATCAGAAAGACCTCCAGTCGTGACTGAGCATTTTTTATTCATGCAGCGCCAATTAATGCCCTTTTGCCAACCCGTCTGGCCGAAGGCAAAATGTGCATGTCTAATCATCCAAGGGAAACGCGCAATGCGCACAGAGTTGTTTATACTGTTTCAAATCCTGTAGCTCGTGCCAACGATATAGAATTCACTCGTTCATTCAATCAGTCGGTGCATGAGCGGACACTTTTCTTTAGACAACGTAGAGTACATGTAGTTACACAAGTCTGGCGCTTATTGCCACATGCAAACCACAGAGTGGACGACTTCCCATAAGCAATAGAGCGCGTTCTATTACAATAGCAGGTGATTCTTAGATAGATCCAGTTCCCATGAGCAAGTAAGATTTTTTCTATTCGCCAGACTTGTTCTATTCATTTACTAAGGCAGATAAGGTATACCGCAAAATCTCAGGAATAACGAATCGAACTGGACTGGAATATTTTGCTTCGGATTGGTCAAATGCTTGTTGAGCCTCAATCCGACAAACCCAAAGCGTAACTTTTGGTCGTCTTGACCAATGGGTAAGTGGTATTCCAGCCCAGTTCGATTCGTTATTCCTGAGATTCTGCGGTAGTAGCAGTGCACTTTTTTTTTTATTTTTATATATACCTTATCTGCCTTGGTAAATGAATAGAGTAGCAGTGCACTTTTCCTAGTTAGTTTACTGTTCTAACCGAAGAAGGAAGGTGAAAGTACTCAAAGTATTCAAGTGGATAGAAATGTTCTATCCCATAGACCCCCGCCTCGAAGATGGTGCTCTATCAAATTTCTTAGAAAGACAAAATCAGGTCTATTGGTCGATAGAACGCGCTCTATTGCTTATGAGAAGTCGTCCAGTATTGTAGAGGATACTCGCAGGACACGTGGTGGTATGTAGGTACGTACATGTAAGTATTGTGGGTTGTCAAAAATAATGGGACGCAACAGGCTTCATTGCAATGTAATAATCTCTCAACCACGACCGACCACAAAGAGACCACAAACAGGATAAGTGATAATAAGAACTACTGGAGACCCAAAATGTATTTTCGTTAGTATTGTCGTTCGTTGGTGGCGGGGTTGGGTTGTCGTTGCTGTATTCGTTGCCCATTATTTTTGACAACCCGCAATACATGCAGTTCATAAATCTTACGGATTTAATATCTATCGAGCCAACCACAAATCCGGATGGCCATATGGGAGAACATACGTGTTTGTGTAAAGTACAAATCATCACAGTAGGTGCATATAATGGCCACCCTTTCAAAGAGAAAAAACACATCTGCTATTACTGTACTATCACGTAGGTACAGTTGAATTTCGGGTTTCGCATCAGGTCTAAAACATTCATTCTCAGACCGCTCCCAACCATTTATAACCCCAAAAATCGATCAGGCCTATATCCACGCTAAAATATGTGCGTGTAAAGTACATGTATGTAGGTACCTACATACCTGCACGAACATCTCCAACGACCCAACAAATATGAAGAGCTTAGCCGACCTGCTGGGGCATCAGGCATTCCCGCGCTTTCCATAGGCACGCCAGACGGAACGGGTCCTTACGGAGTTCTTCTATCTCTGACTCTCTCTGCAGATTCGATGCCGTAGGAGAATACACTAATTTCATATTAGCCAATCATCAGTCGTAACTTCTGGAATATGTATGAGAGCCTATTCTATCTACACTTACTAGCAGTAAGGGAGTTTTACAAAGCCACATCCTGCATATCTTCTCCAAACGGCGACCCTGAAAAGCTCAGACCCCACTACACTCCAAACTCGCCCCGTCCCGTCTCTAAGCAGAGCGCGGCGTGAGTCGTCACCAGCAGGCAGCCCACCATGCCAAACTGACTTCGAACTCAGGGCAAAATTCTCCTGTCGAGTGAGAGTCGATGATGCACCTACCTACCGCAAACCAGTATCGATCGCCCTTGAGCTCGATCTGCACCCCAAAATTTAATCTTAGCACCACCCACCGAGCCCACCCATGCAAACAAACAAACACACCGCCGGAACCCAGTACTACCACCGCCGGTAGCGAGAATAAAAGGGGAGGGGGAAGGGGCCAACATGCCGTATTGCACATCTCCATTTTACCTTACGTATGTACCTTCTTCTCGACCTTTACCACAATATCGAATTTCCCAGCCCATCCGGGTCCCACCTCATCCCATCCTACGCGTCAGCACCGAAACCAGGACCGTGGGATTTCTCTCCCAAAAAGTGCCGTCCCAGTATGCATTTCCTCAAATTACCATCGTACCTCGCCCCCTTGAGATGTGTATATTTCCATTGCAAACCGGGTGATATGGCATGATTCGAGGCCTGGCAGGTAGGTGTTCCCCATTGAAACCCTAACTATATCAGAGTAGTTAGTATAATTCATACAGACTAGACCAAAATTCGAACATACCCTATCCTGCCCAGCCCAGTCCAGTCCTCTTCTATCCAGCACGACCCAGACCCTCAGTATTACTCACGCGTGGGGTTTGGAAGCCAATGGCTTACACACATTGTGCGTCCGTCCCACCGACAGATCCCCAAGCCTCCCTTAATTCGCTACCTCCCTACGTAAAATAAACTTCAACCCCCACCAGCTTTTCCGGGCCAGGGGAAGGGGAAGGATGAAGGGATGGAGGGACGTAGAAGGAAGGGAGAGGAAAGCAAGAAAGCAAAAAAAAAAAAAAGTGGGACCATAACTGCATATGAGATTTGAACGTCCCTCCCCCTAACCATATCTACCACCCAGCACCGAGGCGCACATACCCCCCCTCTTTCTCTTGCTCCAACGGTCTGACACTGACAGCCGTTGATGTTGCATGCATGCATAGCCGAGGCCAGTGCGAGAGTAAGGCGAGAGGTTCGGCACATAGGAAGGTCCTGTACGTCGAAAAGTAGAGTACCAGCCTAAGTACATGTACTCTAAACATCATGTAAGGCACCCAACATGGCAGCATCGAATTCCAAATCTACGGGATTCGAATGATGAAGGGGAATGTGAAGGGAGTTTATCGGGTAAACGTACACCCACCCACGTACATACCAATCCTTAATTGTATATATAACCAGCTAGGTTATAAGTAGTTAGTCTCCCGCTGCCATATTGTCGTACCTGCATCCTTCTCCCCCCAATGGCCATCCACCCCTTAACCTAACCACTACCTGCCATAAATCTCCGCGCCCGTTTCAAAAACAGAAAAAAAAAATAAAAAATCTGCAAGTCAAGTCACAACAGCGGAGTCACTATGTAGTACGCAAAGCTCTTTATTCTCTTTCTTTCCCGCTATATAAAGCAGCAGCTATGGATCCCCGCCCCCGCCCCGTTCCGCTCGCCCGCCAGCATCCAGCGCTGCGTCTTCAAGAAAAGAAAGGTCCCTTCCAGCCCCAAACCACACCCCCCCCCCCCCCCTCCCAACCCCAAAGAATTTCCCTTTTATACCCACTAGAAAAGAAACAAAAAAGAGACCCAATTTTTTTGGAGTAAATGACAACAGCCCAATTGAACCACCCACCCATAAAAACATTGAAATAAAAAAATGTTAATCCGTTGCCCAAACATCCCAGAAAACACAATAAAAAAGCAATGACGTGAAAAGAGAAAAAAGGGTATGACTAAAAAGAAAGAAAATAAGACGCTCATTCCAAAGGAAAACACCCATAGAGAAAGATATAAAAACGAACCATCAAAATGCAATCCAGTTGGGTGGGGGGTAGTAAAAGGGAAGAAGAAGTTTCTAGATACAAAACATTAATGAGCGGTGGCCGTGAAAAATACCCCCCCAGAAACCAAATTGCAATCAATTTTCCGGAATAAAAAAAAAACGCTATCGCCATGATCCCATAAGCCCTGAATAAACGAAGATACGCAGTAAAAAGATAACAAAAAATAACCAAATGAACCCCTATGACAAAAAAAAAAAAAAAAATCAAGACGCCTCTCCCTAATGCTGCCCAACGCGAAGTGGCTTTCTAGCCCAACCAACCAATGTCCTCCATCCCGAGCCTCTTTCCTTGGCCTCATTGAGGACGCTCCCCACTGTATCTGACGCCAAGGACCACTCGCCCTCTCCAGACTCATTACTAGTCTTCAGCATCCATTTTTCCCAGATCCAGCTGCCCACCAATCCTGTGATGGGGGAAGCATTTTCCAGACTGCCCTTTTTGGTGCTGCCCTCTTCCCACGCTTCAATCTTCTTCCGCACCTCCTCCTTAGCCAGATCCAGATCCTGTGACTCGTGAGCGGGGAGGTTCCCGTCCTTCGACGGAACCTTTGGCTTCGAGCACGGCGGGGCCATTGGCAAGAACATCCAACTACGTTTGATCTCCCCATACCCCGCTCGGTTTAGTCTTGAGATCCACTTCTTTGTCGGCTCAGGATCATAACCCTTCGCCTGAAGGCTCTTTCCAAACTTCTCTGAAAGTTCGCTCCCCAGTGGGCCTGGGTTGATAATGTCGTTATCAAACAAGGTAAACTCCAGGTGCCCACCAGGCTTCAGCACACGTAGACACTCTTCTAGGCACAGGTCATACTCATCCATGTTCTGGTCGTTTTGCAAGCGAGAGGGGACGGTGGTCTTCAGGTTCAAGTACAGCGTACGTGCCGAAACCACGTCAAAGTGGTTGGACGGGAACGGGAGCTTCCAGAGGTTCGAAACCACCAGATGACGGTGGTTCTTCGGGCCCCGGTATTTATCCGCCGAAAGTGGGGTATCCTGGGACTCGGGGTCCTCTGCCGAGGATTTGCCGTGAGTGCGAGTGGTGACAGTGTAGACCTTTGCCTTTGGATAATCGTAGGCGCAATGCCAGCCCCAGTCCGCTAGATAGAACCATTAGAAACCGTCGAACGAAAACCCCATATTGTAGATACATAGTAAATAAGCAGTAGTGAATGAATGCATACCGATAGGCAACCCGCCCAAATCCAGCACCCGCCTCCTCTCATGGTCCGGAACCGACCCCTCGACCACGACATTCTCCAGCATCTGCGTCGCTCTCTGATCCATCTTGACCGTCGCCCGCCTCGTTAGCCTCTTTGCCGACGCCGCCAACAAAGTCTCGTGTCCCGGGCTGATGATGACCCTTCCGAAATTCATCCATCTCAGGGCCATCAGCGCCCACAAGCTCGTCAGTATCTCCTCTCCGACCTCCCTGTGCTTGGCAAACACATTCCCGCCCGCCGCCTTTCCGCCCGCAGACCTTCGCTTCGATCCGCCTGCAATCAGCGGGTAGTCTTGTCTCAGATGGGAGCAGATGCGCTGCGCCTGCAGTGCATCGAAGCGAGGCATCCTATGCACAAACGAGTCATTCTCGCCCGCGCTCTTCACGAACGTCCTGAACGCGCGAAGATACGAAGAGTCCTTCGTGGCATCGTCCTGCTGTTCATCCAGTAGAAGGATCTTCTCCTCGGCAGGGGTTGGCATCATCGACGCCGTCACAACCTCCGGAGCCAACGACTGCAGGATAGCCTCCTTTGCGTCCTTGTCATCCTCGGCAACGCGGATCTGCACTTCCTTATAAGTGTCGGTGGTCTCCATGTAGGTATCCATCAGCGTCTCGATGGATTTGCTTGTTGAGGCTGAAACGTCACCCGGGCTCTCCGGCGGGAGCTCGTTTAGGATGACTTGCGTCATTTGCGGAGTCTGTGGGGGAAAGTACGAGTCGGAATTGTTATTGTAGTGATGATTATTATTGTGGTGCCGTGGTGAGAAGTTCTCGCTTCTGCTTGAGAAGAGCGGTAAGACACCGAGGCCGTCGGGGGCTTCGTCAAACAGGATTCCGGTTGGGATGAAGTCGTCGTCGGACGGGAGCGTCTCATAGGCGGTTGTAAGTGGGGGGGGTTGCCGTGGTGTATAAGAGGATGGACTGTGTGTAAGCGCCGGGCTCCTTGTCGCGTGACCGGGCAACTCCGACCAGCTGGACGAGGAAGCGCTGGGTGTAAACAACGAGTGGAATAGTGTTGGGGAAGGTATTCTGATGATCCCCAGGCCATCATTTTTCTCTGCCTGCTCGAGGAACTGTCTGCTTAATCGCTTACTACGGTTCTTCCCGACAGCAGCAGCACTGGTTGGGGCATCGGGTGGAGGACGGTGTGGAGGTGGGTTTGATGATGCAGGGGATGTGCCATTTGTTTCTTCTGGCTCTCTGGCAGATGATAGTGATGATGGAGTGAGGGTGTTGTAGTTGTGGTTGTGGTTGCTGTTGTTACTATTACCATTGTGGATTGTGGTGATGGTAAGGTTCTTGGTGTCGAGGGCAAAGAGTATGGGCTTTGGCGGGGGTGTTGGAGGGGCAGAGGGAAGGGATGTGACAGATATGGTGAGAGGTTCGTCTACAGACGCAGGAGCACTTCGAGGAGGAGTAGTAACAACGACCAACGACCTCTTCTGCGTCCAGTTCTTTGGCGGCGGCGCAGGTGGAGGGGGAGACAGTGATCCATTATATCGCATATCATCCTGCATTGGCACACTCCTCGGCGTCACTCTCGATCTTGGGCTGACAGGACTCTCCTCACCACCACAACCTTCACCACCACCACCACTACCACCACCATTGCCATTCTTGCGTCGCAACATTAGGTACCCATCCTCGTCCGTGTCGCCGCCGCCATCGGAGGGCAGAGAGTCCTCATTCAGATCCTCGTCCAGAGAGTCGTCAAACAGATCCTCATACTCCCCATACAACGCGTCCTGCCCCTTCCTCGCCGGCCTTGTGCGGTTCTTCCTGAATGTGGTTGGGTCGAACTCTGTGTCCGCCTGCTGTTGCTGCTGCTGCTTGCGATTTCGGCCCAGGAAACTTTTTGAACGGCTCGCCATGATTGAGGTGTTGCTTGTGCCCACGCTCGCCGTGGGCGAGCCCGACCTCTTATTAATAAACGTCCCCCTTGACATCCTTGTAGAATTGCGAGGGGACGTTGATGATTGGGAATCGGAAGAACCCCAGGGTGAGAATGGCCGTTGCAGGGGATCCGGGACCACCATGGAAGCGGAGTAGGAGCTAGTGGGTGAACCTGGTTTCGAGGTTATTATCGACGGTGCGGACGTGGGTGCCGATATTGTGGACAGCGCGGACGACGACGAGGACGAGGCCGCCCGCCGAGGAGACCTAGATTTCGTTCCCATCCTGAACATCATATTGTTGACCACTGATGCAAACAAAGGGGCACCAGGAGAGGGGAAAACACTGGCAGTAGTAGCAGCAGTAATAATTGTATTATCACCAGTAGTGGCAGCAACAGTAACAACGGTCGACTTGATCTGACGGGGGGTATAGGGGGACGACGGATCAAGAGTAGCAATAGTAACGGCAGCAGCAGGCTCACTTTGAGGAGACGGGGTGGTGTTATTGCTTTGTGGAGAACAGTGGGGCGTGACAGGCGGGATAGATGAGGTTTGCACGGAAGGCGTATATTGGGCCACCCACGGAGCCTGTTGCCGTTCGTCTCTTGAATCGTCGCGAGCAGCAGCAGCAGCAGGTCCACCTACCACTGCACCTGCGCCTGTGCTCAGACGTATCAAAGGTGGTGGAGGCTGTCTCATTTGAGAGGACCAGATTCGTCAGAAAAAAGTATACGACGAGGGTGATATTGTGTGGGACCGCTCTCGACCGGGGGGGGGGGGGGGGGGTCCTTCTCGTTCTCAAGAAGCTAGAGCGCTGAGGAGGAAAAAAAAACGACCAGGATATCAGAATAAGAGTAGTTAGAACTTAGTAGAGTAGTAGCAGCGCTCTCTCTCTCTAAACCTCCCCTTTGTCCCGCCGAATTGATATATCGAATAAAGTAAGAAGCCAGAATGGGGGCCAAAAAAATATATGAGGATTGATATTGAAATATCTCCGAGCGCACCAGCGCCCTGATAAGCAGGTTTACTGCTACCAGTCCGGTGGGGAAAAGGCTCCCTTAGAGAGTGTCTCGGTGTGAACTGATACGTTCTCTGTCTCTGTCTCCTTCTTTCTTTCCCCTCTCTATTTTTTTTTTACACACGAGCTGGCTGGGGTTGCAAGGGGTCCCCTTTCCTTTTTTTTTTTTTTTCGCTCTTTCCTTTCTTTTGCCTGTTTCCCCTGAGACCTATGAAGTAGTAATATGACGATGAGCAGACGGAATATCTCAACACTCAAGAAACAGAATGACGGAGTTGAATCGTGATTGAGATTGAAAAGAAAAGAAATCCGAGCATAGGCTAGCTAGAGATCAAACAAACTGCCTGTCTTGTGTGGGGTTGTGTTAAACACTTTAGCTTGCAAGCATTTTTCTTTCTTTCTCCATGATAGTTTATACGGAGACACGCACACACACGCACATACACACACATCCTCTGCAGCCTTGTTCCTTCAACTCTACCGGCGTGCGTCCTTTTCATGGTGTGGACCTGGCTACAGCTCGGAGAATCTTTTTAAGCAAAGCGTACTCCGGAGGCAGCTGGTGTGGAGGGATCATGTAGGTACATAGAGGGCATATGTAGAGAGACGTAAAGTAGACAAGTAGAAATACAGTATCATCATTGATCACCGCCCTGCAAGTAAGCGACGGACGCACACCACCAAAAGAACATCATGCAGCAGCAGCGTGAGCAACGAGATGAGGCTGCCTTCCTGCAACCATAACCACAACCGCAACCACCCACCACCCACCAGAAAAGGCATCGTCTAGAAATACCTAGAAGCTGCAAAGAAGCTGGAGTGGAATAAAGGCGGGGGTGATGATGTGCAGGTCTCATTTTTCTAGAGTACATGCTTTCTTTTTTGCTTGTGCATTTATCTGGAGGGTGTGGAGGAAGGAAGCTCTCTACTCTCTTGCGGCCAACCCACCCACCACAATTAACCATTACGATCAATCCCGCCATACACAAGCCAAGTCGCCTCGTTCAAGATCGTCCGCTTTCGAAATGCGGCGTCGGATCCTCAATCCCGCCGGAGGGTGGAATGGAAGAGAGAAGGAATATTCCCCCGAGCCCGCAATATCAGTATTGCCATAATTATATAATCATCATGATATATATTACGGCACGATATATATCATTACCACCGAGACCCTTGACCGTATCTTTCACTTCACTTCAGTGCCTACATTTCGCACGCCACCTACACCACACCACACCACACCACACCCCATTCTTTATTTCATTTCTTCCCTCTTTCTTTGTACTGCACTGCAGTGCATTCATTGTCTTAGCTCTCCAAGCCCAATCCACCTAGCTCAGAAGGTATCTGGCCCCCAACCAACCGCAACCAATCAACCAGACAAACATACAAAACATCCTCTGCGGATGTCGGCAGATTACGCCATGGGCAAAACGTGGGCCAGTCAGCCAACCTTGGTGAAACAATCCACAGACCTTCTGGAAAAAAGTGTTTCTGTAGAATATGTGCCAGGGCAGGTAGAGAGCTGCACTCTACTCTACACAGCGTGCGTTAACGTTTGGCAGTTAGACCCACTTACTCTGGAGTAGGTACAGTATGTATCTGTCAAAATGAACGCACATGTCTTGTCTGTATCGTATCTCGTATCGCCGTTCTACAAACGTGCTCACGAGTACATGTAGGTAGATATGTTCTCATATGTACCTAAGTACCTGTCCTCGAATACGGCCGCAACCAAGCCCACAACCTACATAGCAGACAATGTACCTACTTCACTACTCCCATCCTATCCCAAGCTAAGCTAAACCTAAGTCAGGGTCCACAACTACTACCCATCGCTTATTACCGACCACCAAGCTAATCCCCATTTTCGCCAGCTACATAGCAAAAACCCAAAGTTAAATTACCTCCTCTCCAACTTTAGCTTACGAAATCCCGCCCTCCAGCCACGGCCATGGGGGTCAAAGCGAGAGCCGTACATGTACTCTACTCTAGAATAGAGAGCAGCTAAGCTAGAGTGGAGTAATTTGCTTTAGTTAAATAACCGAACGGCCGAAAGCCATGGTCAGGAAAAGGGAAAGAAGGATAAAAAAAAAGTAAAAAAACGATCCTTCCGGAAGCTGTTAAGAAAGGGAAAAAAAACTCTCCAGCTTGTGGTCGCTTGAGCCCCTTTTTTCCTCTATTCTAGCTGAGTGATATATATGTGACGAAGCTAGATTCCAGCAGCTATATGTAGCTAGATGACAGGCGACAAGACAAGACAAGACAGACGCGCGACAGCGCTAGTGGTAAGTGGGATGGCCGAGGACGAGAAAAGAGGAGGAAGGCAGACAGAAGGGTAGGGGAGTGTCGCTTCCGTCCGATCCAGATGAACGCCGGCAGAGTAAGAGTAGAGTTGACATTGGCGGGAGCGAGCTGCTAGCTTAGTTGGAGCATGTAGTAACATTAGTTACTACTCTACTCTAGAGTCCCGATTCCTTGCAGGTAGAGACCGTAGAGTAGAGGAACTAGATTTCAGAGTACTAGTACTTAGAGCTCTTACAAATCTCTACAATTTCTACTATCTCTGCTAGTACATGCTAGTATGGACTCTACTCTCCTCCACCGGCGCAGTTTGTGTTCACTGTGAATCACAAAGTTACTTGGCCCCTGAACGCCGAAGGACAATTAATCCGTCCCTTAGTAGGTACCGTAAATTCCTATGCCCCATCGGAGTACAGACACTGCTCTCACCCCAACATCTGCAAGCAGGGCAGCACCCAAGTATGTACGCGACGTTAACTACATCATCGCGAGTATCATAGCCAAGCTAACCACAGTCGGAGCCGCGCTCGTTCGGTTCGTATTATAATTTCCGTGGGCGTGCATGCAAGTACGGTAGACTATCAGATGCCATATTTACATACACACACACATAAAAACACGAGGTTTCACTCACGATCATCCAGCCAGTAGCCCTCTAGTTACTAGTAGTGAGTAGTGAGTAGAGTACACACTCGCGGCAGGCAAAAAGTACCGGACAATGCAAGTTTTGTCTCTGGGCTTTTTTGCAGTAGTTCACGCCTAGCACGCACACCCATTGGTGAACCAAAAATCTGCATTGTCCGGTACTTTTTGCCTGCCGCGAGTAGAGACTAGAGCAGAGCACCATACATAGAACAGAAAAATAAAGTAGAGAGTAGCCTCGGCCACTCTACCTGCAGCGCGTTCGCTGCACCGGCGTGAAACACATTCATCCAGATCACCAGAAGTGGGAAGGAATGACGAGCACTCGTACCACCAGAGAACCCGTCACTCAGGTCGAAAAGGCCCTGCATACTACCGGTGCTACATCTTGCGCAGGCAGGTCTGCGGCGCAAAGATCTGGGCCTCCTCTCCTTCCAGTGCAATAAGCACCCTATATGTGTGATTACATACATATCCCCAAGTAGTTAGGAGCAAGATATCAATGTGATATGATTCGAGGTACAAGAGTTTCCGATAGAACGGTTCCCTACAGAGAGACCAGCAGCCAGCTTGGATGCAAATGGTGCCCTCTGGGCGCGGCTTCTCGGAATCTGGGGATTGCCACGGCCATGGATGGGGGTGCGTGTCTGCTGCGCGTGTCTAGGTATAAGAGGAAGGGGTGAGCGATAAAAGTGATTCTTTAGTCCTCAAAACCCAGTATGTAGGATATATTTGAGGCCCTTTATTTATTATTTGGAAATCAAAATAAATCAGTACGGTTAGGACGTGTGCGGCCGTGACCAATAGCAGGCGGTCCATAGTGGTCTCATAAAAGTTGTACAGGAAAACCCGGCAAAGTTATTAGCCTTTTCCATTGGAGGCGATCATTCAATAGGTAAGTCTTATCCTAGTAGATCAGTAAATAGAATATCCAACTACTCTACCTCCTCTCCTGTTGGATCGAGAATATCATGTTCCAGTAGAGTAGAGTAGGTACACATGTGCATGGAGAAACTCTGGAGTACTATCTAGCAGGGTGTCGGCATTCGGCAAAAGATAGAGCAGACACATGTAGATTGTAGTACTTTAACCTAACTTCCCGACGCCTTGTTTGTAAGAAAGCGATGTGATTGGGCAATAAGTCTCCGAGAGCGTTAGTAGAGCCACTGCTCGCTACTACTGGTAATAATTCCGATCTTTCAATCAAGTACCCCAGGAATAGCGAAGTCTAGGCTTCAATCACAAGGGTTCACTCACATATATGTTACTCTACTATTCACTGAGATCTCTCCGGACACAGCTCTAGCTCTACTATTCTCGCGTACCCCGCACCTTGGACATTAGTAGATAAAATACTTCATGTAGGCAAGTATCGTGAAGTTGTTATGTTGGTAGTACAGATATGGTGCCGGTACTCTGCCCGAAGATCCTTGTATCTCTAGCTAGAGCACAAAGTGGTTAGCTGGATGGCTTCAACACTAGTACATGTAGTAATCTCGTCCCATCTCGTCCCATAATCAACCCCCCTATCTTGCATGCGTACATAAGTATGTACACACGTATCTCGCTTAACTAGACGCTTTTTCTAATTATTGCCGTTTATTTTGTGCAATTTCTCTGCTCGTCATATTCACGCCTTCGACATTAGTTACCTAACTCCGGTTTCTCCCCGCGCCGGATGTAGCCTGTCAACAGTCACACGGTATGCCAACCAGAGGCCCATGGATATACCCAGCTCCCTATTTTTGTTACGAGGATCAACCTCATATCATAGAAGAAAACCCAATTCCGAAAAAATGGAGATGGATTTATATTGGTGATCTTCATCGTGTGGCTAGGATCTTGCGAAGAAAGCGGGACGTTGGTTGGTTTCCTGGGACTAATAGCTCCCTGGTACATGTAAGTAAAGATAGAAAGGCAAGAACTGTATACATGAGCAGCTGAAGTCCACCGTAACATTCAACGGCCTGGAGCACAGTAAATTGCGATTTCTTCGGGGGCCTACCTAGCGGATTAACCTGGCCTTGAGTGTCTGTCCAGGGAATTGCCCTCGGTCACTTTCCTTGACTACCTACACGTCAACTGAATAGACGGGCAGATAGACAGACATAACGTGCGAGCAAGTAGCAACCCGGTACTTGGTACGCTTCATTGACGTCTCGTCTTGTCAGGGTCTCAAGAAAAAGAAGGTCTGAGACACCTCTGATTACCATGCAGGTTTGTTTCATCCAATGAAAACTGCAGTAAAAGTTTGTTCGGGGCACACCCCATTTCATTCTTTGCGCATAAGAATGGAGCACGGCGGCGGCGGCGGCGAGAAAACCGGTGGTGGGGTATGAGCGAGTTAATGAATGAGTCTGGCAAATGTGGCTTACTGCTGCACGCTTGGATTCGTCATTTTTGGTTTATCAGAGTCTCTGTGGTTTCGCCATCCTAGATCTACTAGGTGTTTCACCCATATGTTTCAACAACCACGCAATATGGCGGCATGCTCCCAGAGAAAAACAATACAAGTCTGATCGCACACTCATTTATGTTCAAAAGAGAGTGGCATTAATAGTGTAAATCGAAGGCTTTTCTTTCGATGGAAACATGCAGTCCGTTCTCTCCTTCCCTGAGCAATAGTGGGCTTGGAAAGAATACGTCCTACTGGCTAGCTAAATGTATGGAATTTTAGCAGAGTGTGTTCATGCGCAAGACGATACATTTGCTACTGGCTGAGCCATGTATCAGTGATTGAACACACAAATTAACGCTCAGAGGTCGGCCGTACTAGAGAAAACTTTAAACAAAATATTGGGATGATCGACATACGTTAACAGAGGGGCTCGAGCAACCCTTCCAAATTCCAGCTATCAGGGTCATTGCGCAATTCGGAGCACGGGTCGGAATTATGTGGGCACGAATATACCAATATCGCGTGTGTAGATAGGCATTTGGGTTGAGTGAGCTCAGGATATCGGTGGCACTGGGGATGGAGGTGGAAACCAAGATCCCTTCGTATGATAGTTTAGGTAGATCTTTGAAGTTCCTAGGATCGAGTTATGTAGGAATATTTTCCTGCGCAGTTTAATCCGTAGCTGCAGTTGTGGGCTTGGGCCAAATTTTACTCTCACATATTTCCAGCTCGAATCGACAACTATCAAGCCTGTGAATAACCTTGGAGCTCTTAAAATTGTTGCCACTCTGAGCTATGATATCCATAGGATAAGTGAATGTGGACCTTTCTGTTTCCGAGTGCTGGCAGATGATTAAAAGGAAATAATCACGGCCACAGAATCGTGGAAAGTTGCAAGTTCAAGCCCTCTGTGACGCGTCACGGAGGGTTTCTATCCGAGTTATCATAGATAATCGACGTTACAAGGACTCCCATCTCCTGAGGGTTCTGTCGCCACCCGTCTTTCCCGAGCTCGGGGAATTAGCGATTAAACTCAGATCATGGAATGTCACTCATTCTTGAAGTGCGTATTTTGGGGGGTATCGTATCGGCTATTCTTTTTATTGCAACCATGTGCTTTATCTCTAACCACTGTTAGAAAAGGGGTGGGCATATTGGGGTTAGGGAACGAATTGTAGCTCTATAAAAGTAGATCTTATTAGTGTTGAGGAATTTCCATCACCCTGGTTGTTTTACTGTGTGCATCTATATTAAATGTGCCTGGCCGGGCATCGACGTCTCGCGGATAATTGGCCAGTCTTGCTAAATGGTAGGATTTACCGGGCGATCATCCATTCATTGTAAATCATTTCTGCCAGATAACGATGAAAGGTGGTCCAAGCCGTAGAGCACGAGCATTTGGATGCCCTGTCTTTTGTCGGAGCTTTGGACACCAATACCTAGCAATCAAAACTAGGGTTCCCTCGATAACTATTAGGACGAATTGATCTGTTTTAAACGAAATACACAGTTGGTAAATTTATTAGTTGTCGTATGTATTCGGCGTCTCTTACCAATCCACACGGTTATTGATGATATATATGATGATAGACTCCAATAATAATAAAAATTGTATTATCCAGTATTCATCCCCTGCCGAGAGTATTTATAACGATTGACTTTAGATTATAATCATTGAGAGGCGTTGATCTGTTGTTGGGTTGTTTCTCCACAGATCGAACAGATTGTAATGATTGTCTCATGATACACAGCTCATGACCCGTATGGAGACAGTGTATGGTATCGAACAGACACAAAAACGATACTGTACCGAGCTGTAATGTCGGACGTCATTCCCATCAAATTTTTGTCGCAGAATATTGTGGTTTTTGTCACCGTGTCCCATATAAAAATGCTATCGGGACTGTATATTTCGTCCTCTGATAATCTTTATCCTTAAATTATTTCGAGGGCCGCAGTGTCTTAAAGGCGTGAAGGGTTTCTTATAACCCATTTCCAATAGATGTGTTGTGATTCCGTAGGTAAAAATGATATCCTAAAAATTAACCCGGGGTCAGTTAGGTAGTAATAGTGCCAACTGTTAAGCATCATGATAGGGAAAGTCAATGTCACCTTAAACAGCATGATATGACCATCATGGTGCACTTTAAGGGGGTCTTGGCAAGCCAACCCAACAGTGCAAAACATCCAGAGGTCAAAACAACATATCCAAACGTCGGCGATAATAATCAAAAGATTGAGACTTTTCTCATATCGGATAAGCTGCCGTTGATACAAACTATTATTGAAAGTTGGATAACGGAGATAAAACATAGAGTACCCACGGCTTGGGGACAGAAGCTATTGAGACGATCCAGTTAACCAGTAACGCAACACTTGACACTTTTCACCGCCGAATAACCTGACACAAAAATGATAATTTAAGGGGAGAGGCCTTGAACCTCAGGCCGCTAAGTATACAGCAGTTATACCTTCCACGGCTCGGTGGGGTGTCAATGCAAGAGACTCGTGACCATTTTGCCGATTGATCCACCAGAGAGCGCTTCGATGTTTAATTCTCATTATTTGAGACAAGACGTTTCGATGCCTAACAGTCCGAATTCTCCCAGCTGTCAGGTCATAATCTAATTATTCTGCCTTGTTTTCTTTCAAGGCAAGTAGAGTGGGGTTTATTGAAATCACCATGTTGGCAAGAATTGACTTAACAGGCCCAAGGTCCGTTGATAAGTACGCATGTTGTTGGAAATTCTAAAACGACGGTAGGGTTTGAGGCGGCATGTCCATATGTACATTTATACATACATACATCCTACATGATATGCGTTACGCATTCGGATGTCCCTAGCTGAAGGCTCGTGCACGGATAGATCGACGCTGGTTGAGACATATCAATAACTATGCCAGAACTCAAGAGTGGGGGTTGATTTCCCTTAAAACAATACCTTTGAAAGAAAGATAGGCCAAAAAACCAATACCAAGGGATTTTTATAGGCGAAACCATGCCGTGTGATCTCCTGTGAATTTGACGGCACGACGGGGGGAAGATGATACATGTATATAAGAAATGGTACCTACAGTTTGGATAAGGGAAGATTTCTTTGTAACTCTAGCTTTAGAACTAGGGAGAATCGGTATTGTATTCGCTCCTGATGATGTAGAGTAGTAGCTAGCCTGCCAGCAACAGCCATACACCCAATGCCCCCTTCAGGCCTACCTTAGATACCAGTAGATGAGAGAAGCCAGAAGCGCAAGGCCTAGAGTAGAATAATGTATACACTTCGATAGTGCGTGGTCTTGTGCACAAGTTGTGCATTTTCTGCATGTAAAAGGCCTGGGAACCAGGCTACCACCCGCGGGATCCTATCATAACGTGTCATCGATACCCAGATGAACGATAGATACCATTGATCCAAATCGTGCCTATCTACACGTTTTCTAGAGATACTTGTATCTTGTACCCCTTAAAGTGTTATGATGTATAGCTGATACTCCTCAGCTCATACCGAGCAGTCACAGAAGCTGAGCGTAAAGTCTAAGAAAACTTGAATTGGACTCAAATCGCGTGATACAATGTACATGTAGTGTAGTAACTCATGTGATTTAAACCTACTACATGTACATACATGTACAGCGACAAGTAATAAGTGATGGAACGCTCTGAGAGTACAAACATTTAATGTTGGTGGCGTTTTACCACAACAGGTATCGCTGTGTTCCATCACTTATTACCTACCGCTGTACATGTATTAGGGTGTAGCGAAAAGTGATCAGAATCTGATAAGACAAATACATGTATTCACCGCAACATTCACTTATCAGATTCTGATCACTTACCCTCAACACCCGGTACTCATAACATACCAAGTATCCACATCACCACCGTGAAGCTGAAGTTGATTTTGCCACCTACAGAGAAACCTATGATCGGAAGTTCGACTCACGATCTCTGTGTATGTCTGTATACGTACTCCAAGTACATCATCCAATCGCAACGCCGATCTGAATGCAGTTGGATTGCTTCGTCACAGGCGATCACTCGGAGGCAAATATAAAAAAAAAAATCATACTGTTTGGTTGATCGATTTGAATCATACTGTTTAATTGATTGAGACTTGATTGATAATTAATCACTGCCTGCTGTGAGAGTAAGTTTCCGCCGCAGCTTTGAAACCTATTTCCGTGACAAGAAAATACATGTAGATATAAGAACGTAGAAGCTTCTCTGTCGAGATTTGAGACCATATGGAGAAGGATGTTCAATTGTACTCACATGCGATCATCAATCTGAAAAACAAAAACACGCCAACTTAATTGAGCAGAATCTACAAATTTTGAACACCCCAATCCATAATAATATCAATCCCATACCGCACCACCAGCCACAAACCATAGCCAGAATAAAAAGATAGAAAGAAAGGATAAAAAAAAGCCCGAATTTTGTATATTGTCTTGTCAGGTCAGTCGTGGGGGGATATGAAGGGGTGTGGTTTTCCGGTGATGTTTTTATACACAAAAGAGGAACAAAAAAGAATTTATTTTTATTCTTCAAATTCATCACAGTTTTGCTCCCAACGCTTTCCAGCCCGACCACACCTGATCCCTAGCGACATGCCCGGAAAAAGAAATTACAAACTTTTTTTGTTTTGATATTTTTCTATTTGCATTTGTTTGAGGAATTTAAGCGGAGGTCTTGGCGGCACCAGTCCTCATTGATGAAGCACGGCGCTTGCGAACCTCAGAGCGCTTGGACTTCTCTTCGTTAAGGCGCTTGGCAAGAAGGTTGTTGTACTCGGCCTGTTTTATATTAGTTTGGTGTTAGACCAAGAATTGGGTTTGGGGGGGGGGACGTACAGCAGCCTCCTTAGAGGCCTCTGACCTCCTCTTCTTGAGAGCGATCCTGTGGCGCTTGTGCTGGAGACGCTGAGGAGTGATGAGCCTCTGGATTCTGGGGGCCTTGGTGTAGGGCTTCTTTCCTTCACCCTTGGGCTGGACCTCACGACGAATGACGAATTTGCGGAGCTGTATTCAAAGTAGATATGTTAGAAGACCACGTTGAAATATCTTATGCCCGCATCCAATATATAAAAGGGCGAGCAAACAGCGGAGGAAATAGCATACATCGTCATCCTTAGACAGACCGAAGAACCTCCTAATCTTGGTAGCCCTCTTGGGTCCGAGACGCTTGGGGTGGGTGATATCGGTAAGACCGGCAATGTCGGCCTCACCTTGCTTGACGACGACCAGAGACAAGACGGCTAAGTCCATTCCGACGATACATCCTCTAACGGACTTTCTCTTCCTCTCACCAGTCCTTCTTGGGCGGTAGCAAGAGTGGCCGGCAGAAAGAAGAAGACGAACACGAGTAGGGTGCATAACACCCTGTTTCATGGGGAAACCCTGCTTGTCGTTTCCACCGGTGATCTTGAAGATGTATCCAGCGAACTCGGGACCGACGCTGTCACCAGGAACTTCCTGACCCATACGCTTCTCCATGAAAACACGGAGAAGACGCTCATCTTCAATCTCAATCAACTTCTGAGTGCCCTGGGCGGGGTAGCTATTGTTGAGGTTTCGAGTCAGTCCCTGATTCTTCGCTTTCTGTGCTTTGAGCTCCCGTCTCCCTCCGCTCCCTCCCCCTATCCATTCCTTTCCAGCTCTCCAATCTTATCCCAACCTTTCATTCTTTATGCTCGGGGAAGGGAGTTGCGATTGAAGAAAATTGAAGTTGACCAGGGGAGAACTTACGCCTAGTTATAAAAGCTTATCGTTAGTTGACTGTCATCCGATTATATGATAATGATAGAAATTACGTCCAGAACAGCTAGAACTCAAAAGGACGGCCTGGGAAACTCACGATATTCAACTTCATGATTGCGGCGACTTTAGTTTGTTACGGCCGTAGTATGGCGGAGAAGTCGGTGCGCTGGGGGGGTTCGTCGGCGGGGGGTTGTCGTTTATTTTGTTGCTGTAGGTCCTGAGAATTTCGATGTGTGTATGCGCCAGAGCATTGCGGGCCATTGTGTGCGTGGCGCCAAGACGGGACTGTCTGCTAGGGCAACATACGGTTAACCCTACACTAGCCACACTTGTCCCTGATGTGCCACAATCATTTGCTTGCGTACTTCGTAGTATGTACTAGTACGTTACTCAAGACGCATCACGAGTCAAGACGCGTTCAAGCTTTTTGTGGACATCTGCAGGCAGCCGCTTGGTAATGAGTTTGGCCCCTTTACCTAAGGTGTCTGATGATATCGCATATGACTCGGTGCCAGAAAGCCGTGCTTTGCGGAAGTCATTTTTATTTCTCCAAGCGCGTCGCTCTCCCCTGAATTAGTCGGCCTCATGTGCCTTCAGGACCCTCGAGTGACCGATCATGAAGGAGTACTAGGTCGTACAATTCTTATCCGAACACGGAACTCTCCGTAATAATCACCTGTGGTTGATAGGATGGATCCTTCTCTCTGTAAATTATCTCCTTGGCAACACCTCTGTAGAGTATCCCATAGTCCGTTAAAGCTGCCTATTGATTCGAGCGGCGTATTTTCAGCTGTGGCTTGTGTCTGGATCACACACATATTCGGCTGCCACCCTTCCTCTTTTAGTAATTATAATATTCTGTCAAATAGACAGCATCTAAGCACCGGATTATGGGATACCTACTGCGACCTTTGGATGTAAGCGTGCATATTTTATGTGCTTTCAAGGCAAGGTCTTAACGTAAGACCGGAATAGACAGTAAGGTGAGGACGACATTCACAGTACTGGGAAGCCCACTTGAAACCTCTTAAATACATTCAATAATAAATAAAGACAAACCCTTAAATGGAATTCGATAAACATAGAGAGAAGTGGATATTTTAGGTATTACACATGTAGTATTACACCAAAATTCCCAAAAGCAGTGACTTACAGGTGGTCCATGTATTTAAGAGTGCTCGACATGTAGCTGTTGATTGGGCAGCTGAACGTGATCATGTACCTACATAACCTTAGCTTGATTATAGTTGATATATATATATATATATATATCGGCGATTTTAAGAAGAAGCCTGACGTGGAGCTTTCTCGTGCTGTTGCATAGAGTTCTTAGAGGACTGAATTCAAATAGATAGGTGATCCCTTGGAGCTCCTGGACTCCACGTTCGCTGTAACCACATGGCGAGTTTATCCTTCAATCGCCCACACTCCATTACGTCTTTACAAACACATCGGCAGCGCTTTTAGACGAATAAGATTCAACAATAACGATCAGTTCAAAGCAGAAGAATTTTTCTCATGTCTGCGATCAGTTACTAACCACCAACGATATTCCCGTCACTCGATTGACAGGGTGCATTGGATTTCACATGCCTGCCCCCAAAGACAAGCAATCAGGTTGGCACGTAGCTCTTCAGCCGCTGACATCATGTGCCATCCCCCACCCCCTACTTAGTTAGCGACAGCGACTCAGAGCATCTCCTTCCTGCCTCCCTGTCTCAGGAGGACCTTCAACGGCGCGGCTGCCGTTTGTTGTGTACTGATTTTGCTCTCTCTTATATAAACTAGTACCCACACACGACATCGATCTCCCTAAACAACTGAATCATGTCGCCCTCCTCCGTTACATCTACCTCTTCCTTCATCTCGAGTTCTGACGATGATTCACTTAAAGGCAAATCTGTTTCTCTCGGCGTGGGCGAAAATGAAGGTTCCGCGTACAGGGCAATCGAGATCACCCCAAACGATACCGTAATAGAGACCGAGGACCGTCACAGGCTCCCGGGAGTCCCACTGTGCGAGGCGCGCAAGCTCAACGCTCTGAGATCAAAGAAAGAAGAAGAACGGGAAGGGAAGCATGGGTTATTGTCGAGTTCGCCACGTATGGATGAGACGTCTCCGCACGTGGTTATTGACGCGGCGAAAGGTAAAATCAAACGAACAGCTGGCATAGGTGGGGAGGAAGATGAAACACATACGAATATAGAACGTGCGCCAGCATCAACCAATCCATTGTTTCCACCTTTGCCGGTTTACGGACCTGCTACGCCCCTGAGAAGACTGCAGTGTATGTTTTTTCGCGTTACGAGCGGCGCTTTATCACTTTCTTTTCTTGGTGTTATTGTGGCAGGGTCTATCGCAAAGTCAATACCGGTCTTTGTATCAAACGCAATCAAAAACTTAAAGGGAGTAGATCCGGACGCATCACGCCCATTCAACGAAATTGAAAAGGAGCGCGCCGAGAAACGGCGGCTTGAAGAAGCGGTGTGGAGGAGCCAGAAGAAAAACTCACTAGACACCCTTGGCGAGGCCGAGATCGGCGGGAGAGGAGCAATGAATAGACAGCGTACAGGCGGCAAGGATAAGCTGTTATGTGATGTCGGATATTATGCTAGAAGAGTTGGGCTCGAGCTTGAAGAGTTCCAGGTAGAAACAGAGGATGGTTTTCTTATTGACCTGCAACACATATTTGACCCCGATGATCCACCGTACTATCCTGGCGAGGTCGGCGAGGGCGGTGCGAGGGTAGGGAGAAAGAAGTATCCAGTGTTGCTTATGCATGGACTTTTGCAGAGCTCAGGATCATTTTGTGTTAATGATGAAGATAGTTTGGCGTTTTACCTCTGTAAAAGGTCTGCTCTTTCCATCAAGCCTCTCCAATATTGCATTCTTACTCACTCGTTTCTCCCAGTGGTTATGATGTCTGGCTTGGTAACAACCGTTGCGGTTTCAACCCATCACATACTGTCTTGAAATATAGCGACCCCCGTATGTGGGCATGGAATATTAGGCAAATGGGCATTCTTGACCTCCCTGCATTCATCAATCATATTCTAGCCCGTACGCACTTCAAGAAGCTAGGCCTCGTCTGTCACTCGCAGGGAACAACACAAACCTTTGTAGCTCTTGCCAAGCAACAACGTCCCGATATCGGCGAAAAGATAACTGTATTCTGTGCTCTCGCCCCTGCGGTCTACGCAGGCCCACTTATTGACAAGTTCTACTTCAAGTTCATGAAGATCATCCCACCAAGTATGTTCCGCATAGTTTTTGGGATACATGCATTCATTCCGTTCATGTTGACGATGCATTCCACCGTCCCCGCGAGTATCTACGGCGCTCTCGGCTATCGCGTGTTTTGGTTCCTGTTTGGCTGGAGTGATCGACTCTGGGACCGTGGGCTTCGTAGCCGTTTCTTCCAATTTGCGCCTGTTTATGTCTCGTCTGAGACACTTCGCTGGTGGTTGGGCGGATTTGCTCGCCACAGGTGTATTCTCTCTACTCACACTGAAGAAGAAGAAGCTGCTCTTGAAGAAGCAGAAGAAGAACAAAAGCGTCAATCCGCCCTTGCGAACGGGGAAAGACCTAACGACGATGGGGGGGACGAACATTCTCCAGCGCCCTCTGCTTCTTCATCATCATCCTCAGTCGGAGGCGGTGCGTGGTATGATTCGCGTTGCCCTCCAATCGCACTTTGGATAGCGGGCAACGATGACCTTGTTGACGGAGCGAGACTGCTGCGGAGATTTGATAAGGGTAAGGAGCCGGATGTGAGGCTTGTTCACAGATCCGTTATTGAGGAATACGAACATCTCGATGTCATTTGGGCGATGGACGCGGTGGAGAAGGTTTTCAAAGGCGTTAAAGAGGTCATTTGGGAATGCGCAGAAGAGGATGTGAAGGGAAGAGTAGTTGTGCCAAAAGGGTGCAGTCCATGAGTTTTCCGAGTGATGACTTATGACGAAAGGGAAATGATACCTATTTACATGTAGTTTAGAGGGGTTTCTTTCTGTTTGGGGGAATTTTTATAGATATCCAGCGAGGTTTTTAATTTCGTCTCTATTATATTTTCTATCTCGCTTTTTTCTTTTCTTTTTTTTAAATTGTGATTTCAATTTTTTGGAGGCGGTATATATTGACGCTTTTTTTAATAGTCTATGATCAAAGAGAGTCATTACTGGGTACATTTGAATATTATTTTCAAGTCAGAACTACTTTCATTGGCTAGGGTTTTATGTGACTCCTGCATGCAACTGAGCAAGTACTCAGCTGAAATAACGATAATTTGAGAATACAGTAAATTAGTTGTTTCCGAACCTTAAAGTACTGTCAGTCCCGAGAAAGTAAGGTAAAGGCCGGCAGTGACAGAAGATTATTTTCTGCTGCTGTCTAAACAAGATAAGGTATCCGATAGACCTATATATAGATATATGTACCTCCAAAAAAGGCTTAGAGCGGTGGAGGGTCGGGCGAGACGGAGGGTATAACGAGGCAATAGCCCATGAACCGGAATTCCAACTAAAAGATCTACATGACCCTCCGAATCCGTCTCGCCGGACCCTCTACTACTCTAAGCATACAGGAAGCCTTATTACTTTACCCATTTCGACGGTAATGCACATGTACAAGTGATCAAGCAAGCTGGCCATGGCCTAACTATATACTTATGTATATATAAATATGTATATGTAATTTCATTCCAAATATATGCGCTACGGACTTGTACTCTTACGTACATAAGTACAATACCAAAAAATGGTATGAGTTCGCTACGTTATTCCCCTTGATGCGCTAGTAATGCAGCAGGAATATGGCATTACTACGGCATTCTTTTATAGTGCCGGTTTAATTCCGTACTGTTCACTAAATCCCATGGTCATACAGTACTGATTTCACCCCCATTTTTTCGTACTGTATGTAGCTTTATTCTAAGCATAATTAAACTTTGTGGTGCTTAGCCTTTGTCCCTTAGACTATCAACTATTGACCCTTTTCATGAGGAAATGAGACATCACAAACCGACAGGAGTGTGACGACTGGCTATGAGAGATTGCCGTGACGTAGATCAAGAACTTACTAGGACTACGTATGTAACCATCGTTTTTCTCTCGCTTTTGGCCCCAGGAAAAATGGTTCTCTATCACATGAGATGGTCGAGGGCTGTAAATTTGTTCATGATTAATTGGTTAAGTCCCTTAATGTCGTTCCTAGGCCTGCGAGTGTCTCCATTACAATATGGATATGTATTCGCGCTGCCGGATTGAAGCCGCCCAGACAAAAAATGTAATTAATCTGAATACTGCTTGCCACAGTTCTTTGAGCGGCTTCAAACCGGCCGCGCAAGTATGATATTTATTCATGTATCATCACTCGATTTGGGTTAGGGTTATAAAGTCAACATTGTGTCCTATTAGTTACTATTCCCACAAACAGTAACTATGCCAAGCCTCGCAACTGCTTATTTGGATGGTTCTTGGCACTAGTATTTGAACATTAAGCAGTGATATCATATCCGCAAGAAATTCCAAGTTATCGAAATATATATACCTTGGGTCTATTCGTACAATATTGCCCCGATCCCGAAATATCGACCCATCATGATAATCAATCTTCAAGTGCTTAGGCCTAAGCCAATAAGTACCTTCTCGAGCTCCCGAAGCCTTAAATGGGTATCCGGTACTATACTAGGGGTAAAAAGTAAATCTCAGGCTGTGTCAAGGTTACTGCTCGATGATTTGACTAGAAGTTCCAGTCTCGTATTGTTGGTTGAGCGCAAAGTGGTTTATATTTAATGAGGTCTGACCCCCATAGGATTAATTTTCATTGGGCTCAACACAAAGGGTTGAGTTTTAGATGTTTGAACATGACATAGGTAATTAAGTTCAAGTGCACTGAATGTCAAAAACATTCGTGGTATAATGGGTTTCAGATCAACAGTTGATATATCAGTATATGGACTATTCAGAAATATATAACAGCGGTCTCAAGTATTCTTGAGTACTAATTATAAGCCCAGAATGTAAGCATTGTCAGGTTACAAAAATAACTACGCACCCCGCATAGCAACAAGACACGATTCTCAATCCGTTTCATTCCGGCCATGGAGAAGAGTAACTCTCTAGATTCATGGATATAGAATCATCTTTTTCATACCTATTGTGCCGGTCGTCGAAATATACTTATTTTGATGGTTGTTGGTTGTCGTTGGTGCGTAGTTATTTTTGTAACCCGACAATACTTTGTTTATTTATATGCCCACCCCCCCAGCATTTATGTATGATAAAAATTATAGATCAGTACTGAAATGCTACCATACAACCCTGGAGATTTGAAGTGAACAAACCTCGTCACGAAGCAAAGGTGGCAATGTATGGGTTTAATCAATCATTCAACAAGCGGGAAAATCTATCAATGTGCCGATACCAATACAAAAGTTCATTCTGAGATTTTATACCTAGAAGTCATTCCTTCTATTGCAATATATATCGGCACGGTCTGAGTTTCAAATACGTTGTGGTCCGTCCAAAAATGCTGTATATATATATATATCCATAAATATTAAGACCGGATCATCAGTCATGTCATGTTTAGTCCATGAGGTCGGTATATACGCGTTGAGAGGGGTAGCCCGAAGCATATATATACATGTATATATACCCCCACAAGATCGACACATTTCGATAAACTAGTATACAGCCTCCTCATCTCGATCGAGGCATGCAGAGGTCAGTCGATACGCTCTTAATTTTCACCTTACCTCTATGTGCCCCGTGTACCTTTATAATTAGTTAAGAAAAAGAAAAGAAGAAAAGAAAGAAAAAACGAACGCGTACGAACTATACATTTAAAAATGAAAATAAAAAAATGGGAACAAAGAAACGCTAGCCCTCCAAAGAGTGCTGCAGCCGGAGCTTCGCAGTTCCCGTTTTAGAGATAAAGTGAGAAACCGGTAATTAAGAAATTCGAAAGCTATATATATACTTGTTCCCAATTCGAAAAAAAGAATTGGGTGCGGACAGACTCTAGTAGCCGTGGAAATGCATCAATTTTGACGTTTCCCATACAAAAAGTTGCGAGATACACATTATTTGATGCATTAATCGACCTACTCTGTATTAAAGGCATTCCTGTCCCATTACCGACACTTTACCGACACCTTTACTGATGCATTTACCTGTTAAAGACATGTTAAAGGCAATAAGATACGACTTTACTGACGACATTCCCCGTTAAAGGCATGTTAAAGGTATGTTAAATGCAAAAAAAATGATGGTTTCCGGTGTTTCCCGTTTTCCGCCGGAAAATCAATGTTTTCCTATGAAGCTCCTCCTTTAGATCTCGAGATAGTTGAGTCCCCAAGTAGAATATTTCAATAGGGTCATCAAATGGTATCTAACATCAATGGGCTTGTAACAGTTGGGGAATACAATTTCATTTTGGTGGATCCATTGTTTGGCATATACATGCAGGCAATTCTTGCTTAATGCTCCTGGTATAATAGTAGGATGCTCGGTGATGATTCGTTTCATTGCCGATGGCCTTTGTCAATCATGTGAAGCATCACCAGTGGCCAAAACTTATCCCCCCTGTGTATACGCCCAAAAATGTGTGACAGAAGCGTGACGGGTAAAAGCATCAGTAAAGTCGTCTGTAAAGTCGTCTGTAAAGTCGCCCGATTTCCCTTAAAACCACTTTCCCTCTACCAAAATATTGACATTACCCACGTAAATCCAAGCTCGAAAAACGACTTTACCGACGACTTTACTGAATATTATTTGATATTTTCAGGTACACATTTCCACGGCTCCTAGAGAGAGGGACACAAAAAAGTGTTGTAGCTGAGTATAATTTCATGTAAAAAGAGATTGAATTTATATATGGTAGGAGGAAGACTGTGCTATAGCTAATTACATGTAGGATAAGAAAATTGGCCGCTCTTAGAGTAAGTGCAAGGGCGGGTATAATATATTAAGCTGGTAAGGCTTAAGTTTAGTATAGAGCTAGCTAAGTCTAGATAAGACGGAGTAGTGAATGTCAAATGTCAAGTTTATTGCCTGCTGTACGTACATGTTCCACTCAATTACGGTTATGGTCTATGCCAATGGGAGTACTCAATGTGCTATAAAAAGCAATCAAAAGACTATATAGCAGATTCGTCTAATTAACCACCCCTTCCCATATGGAATGTGTTCGAAGTCCGTTTATATATACCTATTGACACTTCATTTAGAGATATCTAGCAAGCTTGGCCAGACTATAATACATGAGAATACCGGGAAGTTTTAATTTTATTAGTGGATTGTCGGGGTTCTTTATCCTGCATGTTTGAGCCCGGTCCAATTAACTCTCGCAATTTGTAAATTTTTTCTTTTATATAATATGATAAATATATAGGAGACAATTCAGGCCACATTATATGTTGGCCACATGACACGTGCACAATGCCTGTTTATTTACGTTTCGTTATCTGCAGACATGATCCTCCTGCTATGATCCAGCCTATGTGCTTCTTTTACACTCTGCTTTACGTATGCATGTTACTCTTGTTGGTCTACAAACGGTTGCTGGTTGGCCCTTTGTTAGGCCGAATCCTTTGTCCGAACACAGTACTACGCGTAAGAAACGACCCATTGCAGTGGACACAAAAAATCAACTCTTAACACTTTGCTGTATTGAGTACTAGAGCTACAGCTGATTGGATTATGTATTCTTTTATTCGCGCCCATGCATGTCTACAAAATGCTGTGGAATGCTTACTACATGTATATTTAGTACGCCCATGGCCACCTAGTTACGCTGATGTTTCTACGTAGATACTTTATACTGAATACCCATCGTACGTAAGTGTTTGCACTGTGGGGAAGGGGATATTGTTGGAGTCGACGTTCGTTATATGGGCATTACTCGATCGAATACAATCGATATATTCGTATCGTATATAATTACATAAACAGATATGGTACATACATGTATCTTCCACCACTAAACTCCTGCAGCTAGTAATATCGGTAATATCATCCTGTTTTCCCATATATATACGTATAAATACTGTATGAGATTTTGAGAATGGACGGATCACACAATAAAAATATTGCGATATATAAGAATGCACGAGGAGGTATATACTTCGCTCTATAAGTAATGAGGCCTGATTTCAGGTAGTACCCATAGTTACGTACATGCCTGCTAAAGTAGTCGCAGTACCCGGGACGACACTACATGAACCTAAGCCGAGCCTAGATCTTCTAGTGATAAGCCGGGCCTTGTGTAAATCTTATCCTAAAACAGATTAATTTGGAATAGCTATTCATCAATCTTAGACAAACGAGTGATACAGTGTGATGTCATTTGGCCCAATATTTGCTTTCACGGCATTGCTGTAAAGGATTCGCCGGTTAGCTGGTGCGGCCACGGGAATCGACTGCCAATCAATCAATCAATCAATTACTTGGCCAGTCAATCAGAAATGCAGAGACCTATGCCATTCGTTTTTCAATAATTAATACGAAATCCATTCCGATAGATTCCAACACACCATTCAGCCTGTGAGAATAGGCCCATAGAGTAAATACAACCATGATGAGGGCTTACAAAGAAAAATATAAAAAGATGAGTAGACAAGATAGTAAAAGATGAAAAAGCCCTCCCAAGAAAAAGAACACCTGTGACCCGCCGCCATGACCCATCCATATCGACCCATTTCCTGTCCTTTGCACACCCTGTCCCATAAGATAGTTTCAAAAGATACCTCCCTCGACTCAGACAAGATGAATAGATAAATCCAAAAAGAAAAACATGATGTAAGAAAAGATCGGTCAATTGAATGAGAAATATCGCAAGACGTAAGATGAGCCACTATATCGAAAACCTGCCTGGTCCTTCGATATTACCTAAATCGTGTGGGATATTTACTCAAAACATGATCGAAGTGAACATTCGGTCAAATTACCGTGTCCCGCCCACAGCACAAACCCGAGAATAAGCCGTACCCCCCAAAAAAGTTTTTTTTTTTCAAACTACCGCCCCCGCAAAAAGAAAAAGCAAAAGATATCCGGGAAAAGAAATACCACGATTGTTGATAACTCGTTGAAGAAGGGACATCCAGGCCACCGTCAACATACATGACAGAAATAGAGTAGGAATTGTTGCAAGAAAGTAGTCGCGCCAAGCCATGCAAATTTAGGTTGCAATCCGCGAGAACACATTCTCGCAGCAGGTGAATTAGGAAAAACATTAACATGAGTTGAGAAATGATATAAATATTTTTTAGCATCGTTCAATGCCTTGCATTCGCCCTGGTCCATTACTGACACTATTGTGTGCTGCATGGTGAGTTTGCGGATGGTATGCATTGGGCTGTGATGGGTGATGAAAACTTTGGGCCGATTCAATCCGAAGGTTCTCCTGCATTTCGAGGCGCATGTGGTTTTCATTTCGAAGTGTTTCAACTTCGTGCTGAAGCTGCTCAATGGTGCGACCCATATTATCCTGGTTTTGCTTTAATTGATTGATATATTCAATCGCTAGAATTATCTGTTAGAAAATATCGGAGGTTGAGATTTAATGGGATAAAACCTTTTGTTAGAACCTCCCACTTGCTACTTTTCCCACCCCTTTCTGCAGGCAACTGATCCCGCAATTCGTCAAACAAGTCTTTCATTTCCTTTCTTCGCTTCCGTTCCGCCAACTTGTGGCTGACCCTCAATTCGGGCGTCCTTGAATATGGTGTAGCGGTCAAGGAGCCGGCCTCACTTGGACCTAGGCTTGATTTCCGATCTTGCTGAAGATGATGATGGTGGTGATGGTTGCCATTCATACCTGTCTGATATTGGTTGTTGGAATATGCGATAGCTGTGGAGCTATTGTCCGTACTCATATGGGAATGATGGCCAGGGCGTAATGAGTTTGAGCTATAGATGCTACTTGCCGCAGAACCAGGCAAACTTCCAGTGCTGATTCTTCCCGGGGTAATCCCCTCACGACTTGTAGTTCGGCCTGGTGGCGCAAGGTCAGGATCGGGGAAAGCATATGGGAAACCCTTTGTTGGTGATGGAGCGTTTGGGTGAGGGACTTGGCCTTGGTTGTAAGAAAACCTCGATGCGCCGATTGGAGGAGCAGTTCGAGCTACACCACCGGTCTTTGGTGAGTTTCCATTATATCCATTAATCGAATCGCTGTTGCTAACTACACTGTATCTGTAGGGATTGCTGTAGGGAACTCCATTTGTGCCATCTGAAGGCCCATTATCCATCCTGTGCGGTGCCGGGGAATTACTTTGAATTCCTCTTTCGCGCTGTAAAGTGCTCGCCAAACTGACCTGGCTAGCTGCAGGCGTACCGTTTATTGGAGACGAAAGCTGAAGGTTGCTTAGTCGACTATCGAAGCTACTTCGTCGCGAGGCAGACGGCGAAGGTGTAGGGAGTGCCCCATCTTGCGACATTGTACCAGGGGGGGTTGTGTGGTGCAAACTAGTGTTTGAGGTGGTAAACGTGCTACCGGTCGGGGAGTGGTTGTAACTGAATGAAGGAGCGCCATTATTCTCTTGTGAATGTTGACGCGAGGGGCCATGGGCATCAATTGGAGGGAGTGTCAATTGTGGTGAAAATGATTCGGAAACTTGATTCAGTTAGCTTGGCCACCTCCAGACAGTATTACAGCTGCTCCGGGAGTACGCAAAAAAGAAAAAGAGAGGGGGGAGGCTTTACTATTGCTGACTCTCGTTGAGGCCATCGACCAGTTGCCGGAATCTCGAAGGTCTCCAGACTGCTGACTGAGGGAAGGTGAGTGACTGTTTGCAGACGATGGCTTGCCCGTGATGTTTGCCAACGGAGGTAGGGTTTGAGCAGTGGAAACGGATGACCGTCGATCCCAGGGCAGACTATTTGTCTCCATAATTTCGGGGGGTGGGGTTTAACGAGTGACTAAATGAAAGAGCGACAAAGGTGAGCAAGGGAGAAGGGGAGTAGAAATCGTTTTTTGTTAGAGTTGAATTCGGGAAGGCCTGAGGAGTTTCTTGAACGGCTTTTCTGTAGAGATGGTAGAGGCCGGCTGGTGATAGAAGCCGACTCTGGGCCTCGTTTTGTTTATTTAATGTTTCGTTTCTAGACGGAAAGACTGAGTCGATCAAAGAGCAAGAAAAACGAAGGGAAGGGGGTTGGTAGGAGTTTTGTTCTGGGGAGATTTTTTGACGAGGAGTAGTTGGAGTGGAGAGGAGGGTCTAGGTTCCACGAGGCAAATCAACCGAACGGTTGCAGCAGCTCAGTGTGGTGTGTGTGGGAAGTACGGAATGATATGTCTGTTGTCTCTAGGATGTGGAAGTAGTTCTCCACTTGGCTGCCGCAAGGTTACTACAGGCTCGCTCAGAAATGTGGAACAGCCCCCCGCGAGAGGGTGGCAGCAGCTAGTGGCAGCTGGCTGGGGGAGGGGGGGGGGGGGGGTGGCAATGGGTACTACATTACCTACCCTTGCAGACAGTCACTCCTATCTGATCCGCCTAACTAACAGAGCAACGTGCGAAGACTGCAACTGCACCGATGTTTCTGCTGGTCCTGCTCGTCGGCTGCCGCTGTAATTTAAATAAATACTATGTAATGTAAGTGTAAGTATATTTGCCTGCGATGACAAAGGCTACCTTGTATAGAGAGACATGCACAGGAGAGGGAGAGGGAGAGGGAGAGGGTCGGATGGCTGGTTCAAATACTCAACACCACCCTGGAACCGAGACGTTGGTCACTGCACTGAGCTCTGTCACACTCCGGAGATCTTTCAAATTTTGGAGAGAGTGTGATCAGAGTGTTCTGGAAAGTTGATGGATAAACAAAAAGAAAGACGGAGTGAATGGGAAAAGCAATGCCTTTACTTATTCCCCCTCAAAAATTGTAAAGGTAGTTAATAAATAGCGCGCCTATACTACTTACCATTTAATGATCATGTTAGGTGTTTTAGTTGCTAGTGCTGAATAAATTTAATCTAGGGGGCGTCTGATCTGGCTTATGATGTATGGAAATACATCATTAAAATATATGTACATCTACATGTATTAATCGTACATGTAGTCTAAGGGGTGACATACATGGAGTTCATGATCATCACTATACGTACCCACACGTGCGCCCTGCTATTAATGTATGTATGTACATGTAGCTATAAGATGTACTTGTATCTGCGGGGCCTCAGTTAGAGCACATATATATAACCGTACCTAATCCTACTTAGATACATGTCTTGCCTACTTAACAGGTGTTTTCTTGCCAGAGAGAGTTTTAGGCTCATGTACCTCACATTATTTCTATGTACTAGGTGAGTTCTTGATACTGGTGACGGTGATGTTTTTTTTTCTTTCTTTCAAAAACAGTACGTACAGATATACGTATTTATGCACATGTGTGTTGTGCTGCCACCCTCCGAGGCATACATGTACAAATTGCGAGGCCTCTAGATCTTCCCATACCACCACAAGTACATATAATCCTAATTTAAGCCGTAGGTACTGTCTCTGCATGTGCATGTCCCTACCTGATTCTCCATGTTTTGGCAGGAGGTAAGTTGATTATAGGAAGTAGTTATATTCATATGATCATGATCACATAGGTAGTCTTTATCCTTCTCTTATAGACCATTCATAAGTTGGCGAACTATATAAAAGAGAAACCGGTCTCATTTGGTTTCTAGTTCGTGTCGTACAAATTTGCATTAGGAGACTCGGGATCAAGTCCTCTCTAGGCACGGGCACTTACTATTCGTAGTTGTTGGGAAGGGCAAAATAGGTACGGACAACCATCTCGATCTGCAAAACAACATGTATCACATAAAACGATACTCCACCCACGTCTACCTAAATATACCTTACAAGTTCAATCGTCCACTGGCTTTTTGTATTTTCATTTTCTTCCCAGAATTGTCCGGTGCTTTAGAGAGTTGGTACCCTGATTATTATTTGGAGTAAAAAGCAAAATTGTCGACTGTGTGTCACGACCGGCCCACTGGATCGTGGAGATCTAAAGGAGTTCCATGGCTGCCAATCGCCTGGTTGGAGATAATAACTTAACGAGACTTTGTTATACATATGTGTGTATGTACATGTCTCGTCTCGAAAGCAGCGCACAGCGTCTTTCCTTCCTTCTCGGATACCCCATTGAAAGAAAACATCTGCGGTCGTCACCACCCAGGTTTTGATATATATCGACATCGCATACTCAGAAAGTCACGATTTCGGGGGATATGTGGCTGGAGACGCGTCTGGGCCAATCCGGAGGAAAACCCATGGCCAATCAGTATGTATGTGCATACGTAGGTACGTTACATACCTATCATAGTACCGGTATAATGTAGGTACATACATAAGGTTTCGAATAATTATGATAGACAATATTGATACGAACGAAATAGCATTGCGATTGTGATTGCGATTTCCCTTTCAATTATTATATGCGTCTCGCCCTCACATGCTTGGATATCCCCCTCCCCCCCAAAGTTCCATCTCCCCCTGATGATCATCTCTGTTTATATAGTCAACTTTATCCTGACGCCATGATTTGAATTGATATTATATGCTTATTTCAGTGGGGGTAGCTATAGTAAGTAGAGTGCCCAGCTTGTTAGAGATATGTGCATACATAAAGCTACATAGTTCTCATACCGGATGAACCGATAACCGCCAAACCAGCCCAGGGTCCAGGCATAAAACGAAAAAAAAGCCTACTCTGCTGTTTATGCAGAAGTGAACCTAGGATGTTACTTTAAAGTAAGGTCCTAAAATATCCACCTAGTAAGTACATGTACCTACATCGGTAAATAGTACTATAGGCACAGAAGGCACTTAAGCGTAGTAGGCATGGCTTTAGGAGGAAAGATCCCAGCGAATCTGCGAGTGATGGACAGGCCCTAACACGTGCTCGTGCGACTCAAAATTCTAGTCTAAAAAGAAATCGGGTTGGCAGTAAGGAATGTTTATTTACGCAAGTGGCTTTGAAAGCTGCCTGTTTATCTTCCAAATACACAAATCCAATTTGCAGGTAAGGTCGAAGAATCATGTAGGTACTTCCAACGGCGGGCCCGTAGACTCCCACTCCGGGGACAAGTGTCCATGTCGGCGCAATGCAGTTGTCGTCGAGTGATCTTTCGCCCCGTCGAAGGGAATCATGCCTTGCACTCTAGGAGTAGGGCATAAGAACAAAACCGGGAACATCTTTACCGAGTGGATCTTGTTGGGCCCACCAATTTTCAGACTTGCCGAAACACCGCCAAAACTCGAAAAATTGGCTATCTCCGGCCAGGGATTATCACTCGAGTGATTGGCTGAATGGCATCGATCTGCATCAGAAGTTTCCCATACAAGTAATTTTGATCTCTGGAAGCTAGCCAATTTTTCGAGTTATGGCGGCACGCCTATTAACAGGGTTCGCGCAACGTGCTTTTCGGACTGGTCCGGTTTGGCAGAGACGTGAGCAAAACGTGTTCTCGATGCACCTACACCGCATGGCCAAAATGTTTCGAAAGAAATGTCCAAGAGATCGAAGAAAAGCAAAACTCCTGGCATTGTTTCAATTGAAAGCTTTCTGAGTAGCGAAAACCCATGAATTTGAAGTCCATGAATACAAGAATTCGGCTGTCGATCTTCGAGGAGCTTTTCTTCTCCGGTTGATAGAAGACCACCCCACCGGATTATCAGCTTCACTCCGGTTAAATAACTGGGGCAATCCTGTTCTTCTGAGCCATAAGATACCTTCATGCAAGAATCATCAGTGGACTTTTGATAATAGGGCGAAATTCTCTATCTCAAGTCCCAACGGCTGTCTGGATTTAAGATACATACTAGAACGCGAAACCGTTCTAGGGTTCCGGGGAACTGTAGGATGATATGATGGCCTTGTGTCCAGGGTTGGTGCGTCGGCGACCATCACTACTTTCAAAAAAACGCTCCTCAACGCGGCTGGCTTGAATGAACGAGCCGCGTTGTGAATTCTCGGTTTTTGAGAGTTGAAGTCGCTTATTTTAATAGAAAATTCCCTACCGAAAATGCTCGCTTTCTGGATGTACCTTACAAAAACAAAGAAGATGCTGCACGATACATGTAGATATTGATCACATCTAAAGGATCTACCCGGTGAAACAAGTATGTATTGTATTGTACATACATCATATACCCCTCTATTAATTAAACTGACTAGTACACGTCGCATATGGTTTGATTTCACCATCATAAATACCTAGAGTACTCTGCTGGTACCAAAGTCGATGCCGATGCAGACAAATGCTTCCAATCGTGACGATGCCGTTTCCTGTAATAATATGTATGCCTCTCATGGACTGTGAAGTTATCCGCGAGACTACATGTACCTAACTACACGCAAGAGGAATTCAGGACCGGCGAGACAAGAAAAAAGAAACGAAACTTCTTCGGTAACTCATACCTTTTTGGTAGACTGACATGCTTTGAAGGGATTGTCCTATTGATTCAAGAGGAGAGTGAACCTACATCGTTATGCATGTAAGAAATGGTTGGAAAAAAAGAAAAGAATCGAAGGACCCGATAGTGGTGGGCTTCGTCTCCAGAAAAGAGGGAACTCTTGATAAGATAGTCCACCCATAGACAGTCGCTGCTGGGCCTCATTGGAGACGGATAACAGCTCCCTTTGTTATTCTTCTACAGAACACTCCCTCTACCGCGTGTGTTGCAGTTGGCCCAAGGAGGCGGTGTGGTGCGCACATACTTACTACTGCTGTGTTGCGCATGCTTCTGTTGGAGATACTCAAGCGATAGGACCTCCTAATAATAACAAAAGACCTATCGCATACAGTGGACAATCGAAGAGTTAAACAGACACCATAAACATCATACATGTGTAAATATATCTTTATTTTCCAGCCTTTGAGCAGCGAAGTATAGTACG